CAAGCCCAAGCCCAAGCCCCAGGCCTTGCTTTCTCAATCGATCCACGTCAGCGTCTAGTGAGCTGCTCGAGTATTGCGCTGGATTAGGTGATGCGGTGCTCGTACTGGTACTCGTCGACTGGGATCCTATGTTAGAGGAAGTGATGTATGACCCCAATGGGCGATATATCTCGGTCGCGACAGGGACTTCGAATGTGTCGTTCGTATTACTACAGCACGCTGCACTCTCTCCGCAACAGTACATCATTTTCTTGGTGCTAGGGACGCCCTGACATTGCCACATCTTGCGAACTTCGTCATCCTTTGTATCAGCCTCGACTCGTTGCACTGTACATTTTCATATAGGTGAGTAGGTAAAAAGAAGACGCACTCATTGTCCCCGGCCCACAGAAACTTTGGCACGGCTGTTCCCAGTCTTTCGAGGTACAGCCCTGGATGGAATACATGTTGTCCCCATCAGCATTGATGCAAAGGCCTGATGAGGTGCAATAGTCCGTTCCCCCGCAGCAGGGGCTCTTTGGTTGGCTGGGCTGGCATGGGAGCAGATACGTTCCCAAATCCCCATTGGTCCAGTAACATGTCGTAGAGGCACTGGCCAATGATGATAGTCCAAGTGCCAATGCTAATAGTTTCATCGTCAAGATCATGATGGTTGAATTCTTTTGAGAAGTGACAGGTAGAGGTGGACAACGATGGGGGAGGTTTACAATGAGAGAGAGGGGAAGGGGTTACATAGATAACCATCGAGAATGGTGCTAAAGAGCCGGTTGAGAATCTGCTTCTGAGTAGAGATTGAGGAAAGTAATGACGCATTGCTTATGTGCAGGTCTTAAGTGATCGTCCAGCCTATTGGCTCTTGAAAGTATCATGCATATGTGGCCGAAATCCTGCGCGGCACGGATATGGGCGCTTAAAATCCGCTAAATTTGAAGCTCAACGTTGTTTCACAACAGTTTATCACCTTTGTACCCTAGGTCGGCCAAATAAGTCAAATCCAATGAGCACATGCACCACCCAACTACGCTCGAGAAGTTATGCAATTCGGAGGTGGAGGGAGAGCACTGTGTAACCGCGTAAAAGCTAGCTTCTATATCTTTGACTACTACTCTGCTCAGCATAGTCTGCAAGCGTGAACCTTAAAATCCTTGTGATATGCACCTCTTAACCGACCCAGTAAAGCCCCATTTCGGCTCATTTCAGCTGGTGGTGTGTTAGATGCAAGCAGCCCCCCTTATGCTCAGAAGCTGAATCCTGGCGCTAAGGTCGACATCTTTCATGACTACGAGTATTCGAAAACATATCGGTCAATTCACCTCCAGAATATGAGTGCCATCATAAGATGAATTAGTGCTAGAGTGTCATGCGCGCCCCAGGGGAAAATTCTATCAATTGCAGTCACATAGTATTTGATATTAACATACGTCTATCGAGCACGCCGCAGTCTAATGTGAATGAACCTGGTCCGCTCGACTCTGACACCGAAATTCACACTATATTATAAACGTTGCCCACGGATGCTTGAGCTCGATTCTCTAGCTCTCGCAAGGGATGGCATCTGGTATAATGGAGGACACAGTGAAGAGTCTAAGGATTATCTTTGCAGCCAGAAATATACAACATCTACCCCAAACAAATGAAATTCTACTATATGTACTCGTTGATGTATAGATGCGAAAATATATGTACTGATACAGAAGACTTGAAACAATTCTCGGCCAGTGCTTCAACTCTTACGGTAAAGTAAGGTATGCAATGGTTATCCCGCTTGCTATTGCCTTATTCCGAATGCTCCAACAGTAGCCAGTGTATGTTAGACAGGAAAAGTATCTGTATAACGGGATATTGTATTGAAAACAATAGTCACATTGCTAAACAGAGGTCGGAAACGAATAGTTGATCAAACGTATCATGAATGTTTTGGATAACATGGGTTATAGGAACGAATTGAAGAAAACTAATTCACTTAATTCATCCTCCTTATCCACTTGCAATCCCGGGTCAAGTTGCAGCCAGTGGTAGAGCTTCTTCTCGTACATCGGCGTCTGCCAGGTTCCAATCTCTGAACCTTCTCGTCGGCAGTCTCGCTTCGAACATCTTATCAAGCTCGTGCACCGTCCGACCCTTGATCTCAGGCAGGTATAGCCAGCTAAGGCCCGCACCGAGAAGGCATGTCCCGGTGAAAACGAACCCGACCTTGGCACCGAGACCGGCGGCGTCCTCGCGGAAGAGCTGTGGCAGGACGGCACCCATTAGAGCCGAGGCTGCTGAAGAAGCTACACCGCTCAGACCTTGGGTCAGCGCCCTGAGCTGCAGCGAGCTCAGAGATCCCATGTATGCGAAACTGGCAGGCCAGCAGCCCAAACCGCCAGATATCAGAGTCCCGTAAAGCGCGACGGCCCCTATCCAGGGAGCGACGCCTCCTCCAAAGAAGCCCGAAGCACCCATGACAGTCCAAGCGATCGCTGCGAAGACTAGAGAAACCAAGGTTGCCCGTCTAAGGCCCACAAGTGTGCCAATCCACGTTCCTACGCCAAGACAGACGATGGCAATGATGATTCCCACGGCCATGAACGTCACCCGAGTCGTCTCACTCTCGATGCCAATAGTTGCTAAGAACACCGGCGCGTTACTGAGAATGTCAAGACCAAGAATAGCCGGGAACGCACTGACAAGAATCACGATCAGCGTTCGGCGGAGGTTGATGCCTTTAAAGCACGAGATGTAGGTTGCATCCTTCGTCACCATCCTTTCCTCCTCCACGGCGTGTCGAATCTTGTCCAGCTCGACGTAAGCGTTCACTTTCTTGGACAGGAGCCTCTGGATTGTCCGCAGCGCGCGAGCTTCTTGGCCACTCCGGACCAAGAACACAGCGCTGTCGGGAATGATCAGAGACAGGGGAACAGTCACGACGCCCACGAGCCATCCGACCGCGAACGGAACAATGTATTTGTTTTTGCCGTCCAGCTTCGTCGCGACCCCCATGAACGCGCTCCCCACGAATTGCCCGAGAAGACTACACAGGGGAATCATGACCATGTTGCCATCCCGCATGGACTCGGTTGATATCTCGGAAACATAGGTGAAGGCGACCACTTGAAGACCGGAGTTGGCGAGCCCCTGTATGCCCATCCCCACAGTGAGAATGCCCCTCCTCGAGTTTAGGGCTGGAAGCGCATGGGAGAAGACAAGGAATGCGACGCTGACGGCGTTCAAGATTCCGACCCCCATGAGAGTGAACTTGCGGCCGATGCGATCCTGCACCCAGCCCCCGAGAATGCAGCCAAACGCGCCGCATATGGGAGGCACGGCCTGCCAGATGCTCAGCCACAGGGACGAAAGGTACTTCTCCCCATCCTTGTCGGTGTCGCCGTAGTCTTCAGTAAATTTCTCACCGCCAGTGACTGCGCCCAACGTAGAGCCCTGAAAACCCACGGCGCCTGCGACGATGGCGATCACGAAGCAGTAGATGAAGACCCATGGATGCTTGCGCACAGCTCTCCAGAATCCGATCTTTTCGCTGCTGTGATCGCTGCCCTCAGCTGGTTTATAGCTGCTCGCGCTGTAGGATGTGTCATTCTTGGGATCATATTCCTCATCATCGCCGTGAGATGCTGACGGCTGCCGTTGCAAATCCTCCAGTTCGACATAACTCGGATTGAGCTGGAAGGTGGTGGGCTGCTGGTAATTCGCCATGGGTAGCTGTGCAATGGTGACGAATAAAATGGAAATGGCAAGGAAAATATAAACCCAAGTATTTGATACCAAAGACAGATATTTATAACGAACCTCGCACTTCACCTCGGACTATGTCTCGCGAACACGCAAACCAGCAACGCAAGCGAGAGGAGGGGATGAGTTGGTGTGATGGCGAGTTCCAGGATTGATGACGATGTTTCATTCTTTTTCATGCAAGCTGATCCATGGCGGATTATTCCTTGCAACTAAGCTAACCCTGGTCGACTCAATTAGATCGCCTGTCATCTCGGCTTATATTACTCGGTTCGGTGGTGATCATAAGCCCTATGGATTCGCGACGCATGTATGAAGCGCTACAAACGCCTGGACTTTCCACCAAGTCTTGGTCGTCCGAGTAATCCAGCTAATATGTTGATAAACTATGATATCTATGAGACTGCCGATGCGTTAGGTGTTATTATCGTGCTTTGGTGATGTGGTGACAGAGCTGCATTGGAACTTCAGCTTATCGGGGAAACTAACCCATTTGGGCCATTGTCAGCTTACCGTCAATCATCTACTTCATCCTCATCTGCTCAGACGAGTGAGAAAGCGCACCAAGATAGGCTCTATTGAGAGCAAGCAGTAGGCTGATTTTATGTATTTTGGACATTTCTTACTTACCTATTTAAAAGCTAGGTTGCTATAGCGCCTAACACTAAAATCAATTTGGCTTTTCTCAGTATTTTCACCGTTGCGATCATGATGGTTAGTGTTTTACTATTTTACGCTACAGCGCTTACCCTTGTATAACGACAACCTGATCTCTTTGACATACCTGAGGTAGAAACTTTCACTAAACATAAAATCGCTGCGAAAAATGAGGTTGTTGCTAGTTTTCACCTTGCAGATGTGTGTACCACAGGCCGGAGTTGGGATCGCACCCTCTCGTGGTGTTGGCTAAAGTAATTAGAAAACCCCCCTGCCCTGCAAGTGGGGACAAGTCGAATGTTCAATCGATGATATTTATCTAAAGTTATAGTTGGAAACTGAATAAAGACGCCAATACCCTAGTAGCTAGCATATAGCTGGGCTCGTGTTGTTGTCATAATGAAAATGATACCCATTGGGCTTCGATTACTCTTGTGCACAGGGCATCATGGTAGACAGAATCTAACTGAAACTCAGGATATCTTATAGTAGAGCATGGATGAACTTCAATAAGACTGAGAATGAGCGGGAGTGCGAACATGTTTGAAGACAAGGCTGGCCCGCGACTTTATATTTCAACTACTGCTTGTGATTAACTACTTAGTGTGTTCAAACTATGCCTCGAAAACCTCGGTAGCTGGTTCTGGTTTTGCCGTTGATATATCAGCCCGGGCTCCTATCAAGAACTCGACCCCGACTTTGATCTCCTCCAGCAGGGCACCGTAGTCGTTCAGATACTCATTTCCCACGTCCATGTGCTTGGTGAATTCTAGGATATGTTGCGTTTCTTGCTCGTTCGCAGCTTCGATTGTAAAGAAATACATGAAAAGATCATCGTAAAAGTCCATGGGGTCTCTGCTTCGTAAATGAGGAATAAACATCCAGAACCGTTCGCACCAGTCTCGATACTTTTTCTGGAGAGTTATATCAGGCGGCTCATTATAAAGCTTTCTGATACGGAAAATAATGAGACATGGATGGAAAAACGACTGGAGGGCGGTGCCGAGAATCCCAAATGTCTTCTGGCTTTTGAGAACATATTTTCTTCCTAAGAAGAAGTCGGGATCTAGAGTTTCTGTAATGCTTCCAGACACCTTTTCCGCATAGGCCCAGTGGCTGGGGAAAAGAGCCTCGATGTCGAACAAATATTGCCGCATCTCTAGTTCCACCTTTTTCGCCTTGTCATAGAAGCGAATAGGGTCTTCATAGCATAATTTAATGTCCTTGACAATGTCCACGTAATGCAGCCTAGCCTTCAGAATATAAATATCGATTTCTTGACCACCTTCATTCAAAGCGACCTTCTCGATAACCTTTGGCTTAATTTCTTGCCAGGGAGGTGTATCATAGAAGTTAGCCTCGTGCGAAGTGGTAAAGCCGCGAACACATTCCTTAAAACACAGCTGAAGTCAGTTGATGCGGACAACTCTCTTCTCCGCCATGTACTTTTTAAGGCGGGTAATGGAAATTCCAACGTACAATGATGAACATTTGTTCATATGCCAATAAAACATCAAATGGATCATCGATGTTCGGGATGCCCCTTAACCTCGCCAATGTCGCGATCCCTGTATATTGCCCTTTTAACCTGGATCCTTCCGCGGATCCATCAGGATTGAATGTATATCCCGTTTTGAGTAGAACTGTCGCTGCTGCCGCGGTCTCGATGCTGAGCGCCTGAGGACCCTGTAAGGCTCGCTGGAGACTCCGGATCACCTTTACGTGGCAATTCCAGGACATGTTGCTTGGCACATGGAGACCCCGATGGTGGTCAATCCAAGAACTACACCAATATCGAACGCTATCTTCAAGGCATTCGCTCAAGTGTAGGCGACGGGGAAGCTCTCGGAGAGACTTGAAACCAAACTCGGGCAGCCCAGGAGATGCCTCTATCAAGGCAACTAAGCGCGCTGATAATTGTTCGGCTGAGTTCATGGGAATACGGGAGTCCCAGACATCTAGAAGACGGTAAGATCGGAATACGGAGTTATGGCCCATAGTTTGGACAGTAGTTGGGGCAGGCCGTTCTGCTAACACCAGGCTGCCAGATGACGCCGATGACCCGGTCGTGGGCTTATTGGGTTTAGAGGAATATATCAATCCATCTTCTTTTCCGGCTTTGTGATTGTTGTTGAGCACGAATTTCCTTCCAGATGGTCCTGGGCATACAATGCCTGCGCGAGCGCACGCTGAGCATGTTGGCCACTTCTCATCACACTGTCCATTTTATCAATGTCTGGGGACATGTCAATGAAGAAAGCAGAGTCATACCTTTACTCTCCTGCGCTTACACGGCTGGCAGTAAGGCTTTCTCGGTATACCAGGCATGTTGATGGAAAGGAGCGATCGAGACGGGCATACGATATGAAAGGGGTCCTTTTGGTAGGGTGAAAGGTGATTGAAGCAGGCACGGCGGTATCAGCTGAGCATCTTTCACGAGAAAAACGCGTGTGCTGGGGACCCAGTCCTTTATATGGCGGAGGCAATTCAGAGATGACCCAATCACAGCCATGATTTGGAGGCGCCCGGTGCATCTTCCCAAATTGGTACGCATGTTGGCATGAATATTGCGGTTGACTTGGATTGGCCAGCCAATTACCTTGGCGAGAACAAGACGCTCTCTCCACCGGGTCATTTTACGCGTGTCAACGAGCGGTGTCCCGGTGAAGAGGGGGAGGTGTCAAATCTCAGGGGGGAAGTTGTCATGAGCATATGTCAACTCTCAAGCCACGCACTTATCTACAGTGAAAAGCCTGCTGCATTAATAAGAGAGTGCGTGCGTTTCTACATGGTGCTGGTTAGTATAGCGCCCGTGAAAAACAGGGCTGCTTACTCTGCAATTTACCCGCTTTTTGAGATAAATTCCCTCTAGCAGGGGGTTCGGAAACATATTTCAAAACGAGTCCAGTGAGGTTCGGCATCAACCTTAGTAGGATACGCTTTCATTTTGCCTCTTGAGCTATAATGGGCGAAATTAGTCACTTTGGGAGAACGGAGGTTGCATATACAATGTAAATTTTCGTTTGATAAAGGGCTCTGCCCGCACCATGTATTTAGTAACCACCAGAGCTTCCTTCAACAATAGGCTTAAATTGCACAGTCGTAGGTTCATCCGTAATGCCCCTCTTCACGGCCTCCTCCATAATGGCAACAGTCGCGGTCGCGCCGATCCGCGTAACACCTAGCGACATGACGTGCAGAAGATCATCCAACGTACGAACACCTCCCGCAGCCTTGATCTGAACTCCAGGGCTCGACTTCTCCCTCATCAGCTTCAGATGCGGCACAGTAGCGCCCTTGTAGGAGTATTTGCCATCTGAGCCCTTGACGAACCCATACCCGGTGGACGTCTTGACAAAGCCTACGCCAATATCCGAGCATATCGTGCACAGCTTGACAATGTGGTCTTCCTGGAGATAATCATTCTCGAAAATGACTTTGAGAATAGCCCCTTGCTTCGTAACAGCCGTGTTGATCTGGCGAATTTCCTCAGCAACGTAATCCCAGTCTCCGCCCAAGGCTTTGCCGACGTTGATGACCATGTCGACTTCTTTGCCTCCCGCAACGGCTGCTGCGTTCGCTTCGTAGACCTTGACATCTGTAGTGCTATTTCCATGGGGAAAGCCAATCACGGGACAGACAAGAACATCGCATCCCTCCAGCTCGTTCTTGGCCAATGGAATCGAATATGGTTTGACGCAGGCGGTAGCGACATTATATTTCCTAGAGATGCGGAGGCCTTCCAGGATATCATCGTCGGTCATGGTAGGGTGAAGCAGTGAATGATCGATCATTTTGGCGATCTGGCCAAGTGTTACTTGGATTGTGTTGTTGGTAGCAGCCATTGTGTGTTGGGCCTTTGCTCTGCGGAACGTAAATTCGAACTGGGAAAAGAGCTGTCTCAGTTCTTGAGATAGATGGAGTAATTGCAAAACAAGGTTGGCGTCGTATTTTACCCCTTTGCGAGACAAATTAATATTTATATAGGCGGCGTGGCTTTATGCTGCATGAGGATGTGTACAATAGTTCGTCAGCCTCCGGTGGAAGCTTTGCATCGCTTGGACGAAGCACAGCTACTCGATAGCCCGGACATATTATTACAGCGGCTTGTAGCTTGCTCGCCTGAATTTGTTACTCTAACCGATGCGACCGTGTTGACTGACCTCTACTTCCGCCGGGTTCTTCCAGACCTCGGAACGGATTTCCAGTTTAGGAAAAGCCTCCCGGTGGCAAACATTGCAAATTAACCTCCATCCGGCATTTCCCCCCATCACAAAACAACATTTCATTGAGTTTAATCGTTGGAACACAATTACGTCGTGCTGGCATGTCATGCCTCCGAAAAAGGTCAACAACGCGTGCGTTAGATGCCGGAGACAGAAGTTGAAGGCAGGTTGAAGATTGATGCCCGCGCGGTGGAAGCGAGTGCTGATTGTTGAGCATCCAGTGCGACATCGAAAGGCCATGTCTGCTCTGCACTCGTGCCGGGGTCGAGTGCATTGCCCCCCAAAGCCGATCATGGGCGGAGTATACACCAACTGAGTACTCTCGCCGACTAAGGCGAGGAACCGGAACTGAAGGCAGGGGGAGGAAACGAAGGCGCGATACAATACAGATCCAGCGGAAGGACGAGCCACCACCGGAAGAGGCCACCTCGGAGACCGGCGGTACTGTATCGACTCCGCATGATATCAGGGGTCTTGAGCCCTCGGATCAATATTCCTTGGGCAATTCAAGCTCCACTATCATGCTTGTCGAAGAGGTAAGATGGGCTGGTTGGGAGAGCCGGTTTTGTTCAAAGTGCTGCTGACATACTTCTTCTTAGGCTTTCCAGCAGCATGACTGTTCGTCGCCTGAGATGACAGAAAGATCAGCGTTGTGCTACAGCCAAGCTTCGAAAAGCTTGTATTCTAATGCTAATCCAGAGACGAGCAAACGCCCTACGGCGAGCGTGTACGCTCGGAATGGGCGTCCAAAAGTTTCCCAGGCCGCAATGTTAGAACTGTCCCAGCTCCTTCCCAACCGTGAGATTGGTTACTTGCTCGTGGACAACTATTTTGACAAGATCCATTGGTACATGTTGCTCTTCCACCAGCACGAATTCAGAGATGCTCTAAATTCTCTCTATCCGGACACTAGTTCTACTGCTCCGGCTAGTGGTCGACAGGATGAGTCCACGACTGGGTACATTAGTGTGCTTCTTGCCGTATGTGCCTTGAGTCTTCGGTACACCAGTAGCGCGCAACGAGAGCAACTGGCTAAGCACGGCGTGAATGTAGAGTCACTGCGAGAATCAATTTTGAACATTCTTAGACTGAGGCTTCTTGATATTCTCGCCCTTGGGTCTCTAGAAGCAGTTCAGCTATGTGTCCTCTTAGGTAGCTATTACCTATACCATGGCGAGCCAGAGCTCGCTTGGCCCCTTTGTGGCTGTGCTCTCAGACTCGCCCAAGCACTTGAATTACATCGACGTCCTGTGCCTGGCATGGTGTCTCAGCATGAGACCGAAGTGAGAAAGCGCTGCTGGTGGGCTGTACATGAGATCGAGACCTACTGCTCTATGATCTACGGATTTCCACTCAGTATGTCCGATAGCGATTGCAATACCGAGCCACTGGATCCAAGTGACCAATGGTCTATTGCAGCAGATGGGCAGCCATCATCTTCTCAGCAACCCACACTCTTAGTTTACAAGTGTTCTATGTCTGTTTTGTCGAGGATTATAAAGTCTGCATTGGAAGACCTTTATAGATCTCGACAGAAACAGCACAGATCTGATATCAGTGCTGTTCAATACGACACGCCCATGAGGCTCCAGTTCATTACGAACAGAATCAGGGCTCTAAATACAGAGCTCGTAGCATGGTACGATAACCTCCCTCCCAAGCTCAAGATGGGCAGGCTATCGGGTCAGCCAGCACCAGAGGCTGTAGGAGGTCTGGCGAATCATACGGAAAGTCACGTCTCCTTTGATGAGAAGTTATTCAAGTTACAAGCTCTCGCATTGAAGCTAGCTTTTGAAAACGCCAGGATACTGATTCACCGGCCTCTTCTTCTACGAAAAGACGGCGAAGCAGGGGAATTTCCCTCATCAACTACGAAACCAACAGTATCATTACTCCCAGAAAGCTTATCAACCTACAGTCGGACGTGCCACGATGCCGCTCTTCAGATATCCTGGGCGGGACATAAGCGCATCTTCAGAGACGCATCCACTACTTATGCCCTAAACTTCATTGCTTTGCATCTTCTCACTGCTGGTGTCACACTTGGTATCATGACAAGCTTGAATCCTCTTAGTCAGGAATCCTTTGAAGCTAAGCTGGGCATCCGTCGAATAATGGAAATGCAGGTCTCCTTAAAACCTAATTCCATTGTGGCAGATCAAGGACTTCAAATTCTAAGGAAACTTTTCCTGCTCGTCATGAAGAAAGAAACTCATTCTATGCTCGATTTCAGCCCACAGAGTCACAGAGTGGATGAGCGTGGGAGCGTTCAAGAATACCAAAGTGGAGGTGATCTACCAACGAGTCTCGCCAAATCACATGAAAATCAGGATCAAGCCATCGAATCTGGTGTTCGGTCTGATGATTTTCCCATCGCAGATCAAACGCCTGATATGACTACTAGCCTCCAGCGCGAGACATTGACACAGCCTTTTGAATTTTGCCAGCCGACCCCGCAATCTCCGATGTCAGAAGCTATGCTCGCTGTTGAACAAGGTATGATCTTTGATTTTCTAATCTTATATCGAGACGGGTTGACTGACTGTATAATTACGCTGCAGCTTTCTTGTATCCCACCTTTCTTACCTCGTTCGATGAAGATGTTTTCCCCGGTAATCCTGAAATTAATAGACCTGCCATGATAGGCCAGGACCAGGGCTGGTTATGGGACCCAGAACTGGATATTGGCCCTCTTGAATGAGTTTGGAGGATTCAGATGACCCATAAAGGTTACCGCAGATTGGATATCAAAGACATGGCTTGGAAGTTGGAGATGTGTTCAATATGTTGGATTAGGGTTAGAGAAATCGTCTCTAAGATACTTGGATCACCAGGAATGACAGACTCCGAGTACTTATGGGGATCGAGTAACTGTCACTGACGAAAACGATGAGAAGGGGGCGACTGGGAGAATGGGGTATCAAAACCCGGATGAAACACAAATAATCAAGCCCGACACGATTTTGCGTCATTCGTTCGATGCCAAGAGGGTCGATGGTGAAACTCCAGCGACGTTCCAGACTCCACCGCAATGTCGCAGTGACTTAACTGGTGTGTCATGATGCAGCTGCCTGTTTCTGCTTGGCTGGTAGCCCGTAACTTAAGTGGGATTTCATTCTTCCACCACTTGATTTCATGCCAACTAAAACCTGGCCATATCATCATCCATCTCGCCAGCACTTGCTGTCCCCCGCACCATTTGCCTCAGCCATCCTCATACGATCAAATATCAATCACGCATTGCTTTTCGCCAGCAAAAGGGAATCCTCATGGTACATTCGCAAACCTGTTCATCACCTCGCATCCTCGGCGGGATTCTAGCCGCGCTCGCCCTCTTCTTCCTGTACAGCACGGCTTGGAATCTGCCGCAGTTCGACCTTGGCAATCACGAGCCCATCATGACGACCATCGCGGGCCTGAAGCTGTCCATCAGCCATACGCCTCGCTCGTCGCCCCCCGAAATTATGGCCACGGTCACCAACGACAACGCATTTCCCGTCTCAATCTTGAAGTACGAGTCGCCGCTTGATCCGCTTGTTCTGGCACTGGGGCACCTGCAGATAACGCCAGCTGGAGCGGATGCGCCTCTGGACCTACCCAAGATAGCCGTGCGCAGGGTGTGGCCTCCTACTCGAGACCAACTGGTCACTCTCGAGCCTGGTGAGAGCCAGAAGAATCCTGTTACTTTGCGAGAGCAGGTCGTGCCGCCCGGTGACTTGGCCGGGGAAGTATCAATAGAACTCAAAGGAAGGTGGCAAGCAGTTTGGTCGAAGAGGAAGGAGGACATTGATGACAGCTCCTTGGAGAATCCTAATATTAGCCCTGAGGTTGAACGTGGGGAATATACGACAGGCAAAATCAAGATTCACTTTTGATGGGACGCGTTTGGCTAGGAAGACGAAAGCTGATCGTTGAGGTGTCTTATACATATTAAGAAGTGCTGTGAAATGAGATGAGTAGAGAAAATAGTACAAGTGTTTGAAGACAGAGACTCGCAAGGGGCGATGCTCAGATCTTCGACTCTTCAAAACTCCCATGCCGTCCAGCTCCCCCGGAAAACCTAGCTGCACCCTTCACGCTCTCTTTCGAGACAACCTTGACCCCATTATCAAACTCGTTCCGTAGTGCATCCTCAAATGAGGGAGCGTTGTACACTGAGTAATAACAGCTAGACCGGTCAATATTCATACACTCTTGAGGAAACTTCAGAAGCTGGCGCGCAATCGTGGTAGCCTCCGCCAGACTCTCGCCCTTGGGAACCACCCTGTTTGCAAGTCCCATCTGCAGGGCCTCCTGCGCAGGGACGCCTCTTCCTGTAAGTATCATATCCATGGCACGTCCAAGACCAATGACTGCTTGGAGCCGAACTGTGCCTCCGTCAATCAGAGGGACGCCAAACCGTCTACAGAACACGCCGAACACGGCATCCTCTTCAGCGACGCGGATATCAGCAATCAGGGAGAGCTCAAGCCCTCCAGCCACGGCATAACCGGCTACAGCGGCAATCACGGGCTTCTTTATCTGCATGCGGGATGGCCCGATCGGGCCCTGATTCCGTCCCTGCACACGATGGGCAGGATCGACAATAGGGCCCTTGTAGCTGTCGCCGGCGCCAGGGTCGAACTTGGCGACCTCGTGTAGGTCAAAGCCGGCGCAGAAGTTTCCATTGGCCCCGTAGAGGACACATACTTTCTGGGTTGGGTCCTCTTCGAAGGCGATGAAGGCTTTTGTTAGCTTCGTGGCCGTCGGACCATCAATAGCATTCCTTCGGTGGTGTCGATTGACGGTGATTGTTGTCAGACCGTCTTCGGTAGTGCTGACTTGAACTGCTCGGGGCTCGTTGTCCATGTTTCCTGGATACTACTATGGTATAGGCTTGTAGACTTTTTGGGATAGCATATCAGAGGCATTAAGGAGAGATAGCGTCGGCTTTATACTGCTAGCAGAGGCTCAGCAGGTATTGAGATATCGCCGGGCAGCATTTGTTCACCGTGCCGGCCTGTTTCCCCGCTCCTTCTTTTGGAATAACCTGATTATCGGCCCTCTCTGCCGAGGCAATTCAATGAAAGTTGTCTTCCAACTCGATGTCGGGCCAAGGGCGTCCGTACTGGCTCGTCTTGGCTTGGACTCTTTCGTCATATCACATGGTATTGCGCCCAATAGTCATGGAAGCTGAGTGCGGGGGACTGCGTGTGCTCCGAGAGTCGGAGTTCATCATGATCAATCAAAAGCAACTCCATCAATTATTCATCAATGGGGAAATAATATTTCATATGACTCTACAATCCACGACCGGTCGAATGCAGTCTAATGCCTGGTAAGATTTAATTATCGTAGAAAGATTAAAGAGACAGATACTGGGACGGGGAATATGAGGCTTGTGTCCACCCATCAATTCAGCAATTTTTCCCTTCATAATATCCAAAAGCATACTAGGCACTTTTCCAATACGACGCGATTTCGGATCAAGTATATAGAGAAGATGCATTGTGAGCAGTTACTACCTTGATGGTGTAAGTCTAATAACATTGGTGAGGCTACAGATCTGGCTCCGTGTCGATAGTAAAAGGGAAGCCGGCCACAATATCCTGATTCAAGAAATCATATTCGCTCATAGAAAATAGATCAAGATCGTTATTTGTATCCCAGTCAGTGTTTTGTGTATATCCGTTGCCAGAACCGCCAGCCACCGAGCTTCCGCCAGGAGGGAGACCTAGGCCCAAGGCATTTCCTGAGTAGGACCGCTGAAGTAGCGTCTCGATTCCTTTGCAAATCTTAACAAGTAGATGCTGAGGGTGCATTGTGGATGTCACCCTTTTCAATGTGGCGAGTAGAGACTCGAGGAGCTTATAGACTTCTGTTCTGTCCGGCCGAACCGACATGAAGTAATTATTTGAGAAGACTTTGATGAGAAACACGACCGCGAACGCAATCATGGTGTCAAAATAAATCGGGAGACCGTCAAGAAATGACTGAATCTCGGTATCGTGAACCACCGCTTTCAAGATCGCAAGAGCCGACACAATGGCCAGGTTGGCGACTTCATCCAACTCTGTCAACGGTTCAATAAAACCCCCGGCTGACTCGGTGCATCGGAAAGCGTGCGAGCAGAGATAGAGCTTAGCAAAGTGGTATTGCAGCGTGACGCCTTTTCGCGGATAATCCCCGATGTGAATATTTGGACTGAAGCTATCAGCCCATTCCATCCGGAGGCTGTCTAGAGCGATGCTATACTTTTGCAACTCCTTGATCTGAGAGCTTGACAATGGTTTCTCGACCTCCGAGCCGAACGAGTCGTATATCTGGGAGCAGAGACTCCATCGCAGTACTTGGCTGACCAAACGAGCATCATCGGGAGTAGCGTGAGGGCAGTTGAGGAATTTCCTGACATTGCGAATCGTCTCGCATTCTCTTGTCATTGGCGGGCGGCCAAAGGCCACTGAAAAGTGATGATCACATGCATACACCAACAGGTATAGACGCGTCCGGTAGTAATGCATTCGATCACCTTGCAGGGCTTTGAATATGCTCCTGTGGAGATGCAACTCAGTAGAAATTCTAACGGCTGATGCTACCAGAGTCCAGGAATGGCCGCTGAGCCAAAAGGCCCCAATGCAGAGTGCTCGAACATCGTCGACGGTGCAACATTTTGAAAAGCTTCGGGTAGCGGATAAAGATATAAACTCCTTGTAGCATATTTCAAAATCTCCAGATGCAAGGTGAAGTGCGCCGACTGTACAGACAGCAGCAGTAAGGAGAGGGGTTGCTTTCCGAATGGTATCCAGCGTTGCGCTGCTGTGGTTCCCAAGTATGCGATATGGGAAATGGTCGAGGCGGTTCTGGTAGGTTTTGAAATATCTCTCTGCATTGGCCGCAGTAATAATTCCATTGGAAATTAGGTCGCCATTGGCATTGACCGTCTGGTTTCCAGGTGTTAGCGAGATGTGAAATCCTGGGATGGAACTTGCACCAGAAGCAAAATCCATAACCACTTCACAATCATCAGCCGCTTGATTCACGGTTAGACTTGATGGCTCCGATGTAGCATCCCCATTCTGGGAGAGCTTTTGGGATCCTGGAGTATTCTTCAAAACCTCTGTGTCTCGAGACTCCTCATCCTGCAGTGACATCTTGAGTGCTCGGGCATCCTCAACCGACAGCGACTTGTCAGCGAGTTGCTGCACTGCGTGTTCGAGACTTTTAAACTTCCTCTCTGCTAGATCCCTCCAGCTGTTTTTGCATTTATTGTCAGCCGCAGATGAATATGCCGGTCCAGAACACGTACCGGACGTCGCTTTCAAGCAGCATTTGCAAGCTCTGATTGACCACGCAAGAGAGGCCCCTTCTTTTGCAGCGTACACATGGTGGTTTAGAACCGCCCATCTGGCATTTTATCTACACCATGCGTGAGCGCTTTCTTCATCTCAAGTGCGAGACCTAGCACACGATATACCTTTTGCTTGCGACATGCCACACACGCTGTGATCTTGCGACTTATCTCTGGGGGTTTAGGGTCCCCGAATATGTCACGCAGAGCGCGTACCGGCTCCTCCGAGGCCATGTCGTCCTACCGGAGAGTTCGTTGGTTCTGTGATAATATGATTAGATCTAAATTGGAGTGCGGCGAAAGACCGGTGCCGGCCGAGTATTTAGCTGCCTTGTTTGTTTCCCCGCATATCCACGCACACAAATTGCGGTCTTCGCACCGAGAAATGTATGGAGTGTCAAAGTGGGTCATCAGTTTATATGCCGGGCTTCGTCCCGCACACTTGTTACCTCTTGGCTAGACGTTCACTATTTAATATCGAGATGCACCACTGCTGTGATATCAAACCGTTCTATTCAACCATAAAAATAACTAATATACGAGCTAGATCAAATCTACGTCCTTTATTGCCGAACTTAGTAAACATACACCTTTACAGCCAACATCATGGAAAGCGGTATGAACTCAGGCACCAAGTCCCATATCGAGGACGAGAGTATGTGATACAAGTCCTCCTTCAATTTCAGGATAATATGTTCAGGAATATTGTCATCTAACAGATCAACGCAGGACTCCAAGACAAGGTCACATTGCACGGAAGAAGCTACAGCCTTCCTAAGCGCCCAGTAGTCGTGGTCTGCGTTGATGGCTTCGACCCGGAGTATCTCCAACATGGCATCGACAATGGGATCTTGCCCACGTTGAAAGAATTTACCATTTCTGGGTTTCATCGTACAGCCAATGTCGCCATGCCCTCCTTTACGAACCCTAACAATGTTTCAATCATCACCGGCGTTCCGACTGCTGTTCATGGGATCGCAGGGAATTATTTTCTTGACCGTGACACCGGAAAGGAAACAATGATTGTCGACGACTCACTCCTTCGTGGGTCAACCATTTTGGCGGAACTAGCCCATCGCGGCGTGCGAATCGCAGCTATTACTGCCAAAGATAAACTGCGAAGAATCTTACAACATGGTCTGCATGGGAAGCAAAATATCTGCTACTCAGCTCAGTTTGCGGACGATGATGTGATAGAATGGCTCGGGAGAAGCTCTCGCCCAAGTCAATACTCTGGCGATCTCTCACTGTTCGTCCTCGACGCCGGGATCAAGCTCCTCAAAGAAGACCGTGCAGATGTATTCTACCTGACTCTATCAGATTACATCCAGCACAAGTACGCCCCTGGAGAAGCACAGGCCAACGAGTTCCTCTCGGAGATTGATAATCGCCTCAAGTCGCTTGTAGACTTAGGTGCCATCGTTGCAGTGACAGGCGATCACGGTATGAGTGACAAGTCCGACGCTGTGGGTGAGCCAAATGTTTTATTCCTGCAAGATGAGCTGGAGGATAAATTCGGAGAAGGCTGTGCACGCGTCATATGCCCCATCACTGATCCCTTCGTCAAGCATCACGGAGCACTCGGGTCCTTTGTCCGTGTGCACGTGAGTGAAAAGGCCGCCCATCTCATTCCTGCGATGGCGAAGCACTGCCAGACCTTCCCACAGGTCGGTATGGCGATGCTCAAGAATGAGGCAGCGCAAAAGTGCGAGACGCCAAGTGACCGAGAGGGCGACTTTGTTGTGATATCCTCCAAGAATGCCGTCATAGGTGCCAAGGCCAAAGAACACGATCTTTCGGTTTTAAAGGGTCATAGACTACGATCTCATGGCGGCTTTTCGGAGCAGGAAGTGCCGCTTCTTATGTCGCACCCCGGCACTTGGTTGGATGAGGCCGGCACCGAGAAGAGAAACTGGAGAAACTTTGACATTTTCGATCTTGCGTTGAATTATGGACAGTAGCTTGATTAAGTCCTATTTAGACTCTAGGCTCTTTTGAATAGGAACGAGAAGTTGACCGAGATAAAGGAGCATTCGCAGATTTAACCCTTTGAATGAGACGTAGTTGTCTCATCCCATATCGCCAGATGAGCCCTGTTCCAATAATGGATGATGAGCAAAGCAGCCCGAATGCCCATGTGCTTTCCTCCAGATAGTTCACCACATTCATACCGTAATATCCAGCCACGAGCGTCGCAGTCGCTAGCCCAACCATGACAATCTCAATTTTGGCCTCCAGGACCATAATCTGGTTCCGGCGGACGTTCAAAATTGACTGGATGGTCTCTTCTGTCTGCCGAATATACCTGATCAAACTCGCTGCTTCCTGTACCACGCTATCGCTAGCCTTGTAGTATGCCTCGAACAGATATTCAACGTCCTGATGATCAGCCGCTGTGTGGGGAAGTCCGTTTTTCTTATCGCTGAGGTGCATGTCGGCCATATCCTGATCATCGTTCAACACTTCTTGTATGGCTTCCCTCACTTGCTTGCCACGTTTCTCGATGCCTACGAGATTCCGCACCAAGTCGAGAAGAGTTTTAAGCTCAGAATTCAGAGGATGCTCCTCCTTCTCCAGGGAAGCAAGTGTCTCAGACACCTCCTTCTTGACTAGCAAGTACTCAGCCTCAAGTGTCGCTGTCACAGATGCTAATGCTGCCTCTACCACTCGGAGCTCATAAGGTAATCGGATGGATACGCCTGATCCACGACTCCCAAGCAGTTTACTCTTGAGGTCATGGCGGAACACTCGAGATGCATTGTCGATATCGCTGCCAACGGCTTCTTCGATATTGATGAGAAGGACACGATCGGCTTGTATCAGTAGCCTGAGGTCGAAAATATGTATGAGGATCGTCCGTTCACGGATCAAAATGTGAGGAAATCCACCGGAAGGGAGATCGAAAGTTCGCAGATCTCGACCACTGAACCCAAAGCTCTTGACGATGTCATACTTGTTCATTTTCTGAGCTGGAGTTTCCTCCCCATCCACGTCGTATATCGTACATTGTATCTCTGTGTTGCCGTTTATTCGAGTCCGCGAAAGCCCAAGAGACAACTCGTACAGATCTTTCGGCGTCCGGCCATCATCATGTGGCCCTGGGGTAGACACGGTTGAGTTTGCTCGCAAGGAGCCATCTCGAGACCACGGCACGCCTATCTTTGAGTTCCCCTTAGGCGCGGAGCAGCTGAATAGTCGCGCATTCGTTGGTGCTTTATCGCGCAGAATCCGCGACATCCGCGATGAAGGTCCCAGGAGCGCCCAGGGATTGAACCAGCTGGAGTTCAAGCCCAGAGGACGCATGGTTCCCAGATATATATTGCAATTGAGGATATGTCTCAGCGATCGGTTTAGCCTTTCGGGGCGTTTCCAAGGATTGGAGCGCAAAGCTGGTTAAAAAACTTAAAATGTTAAACAACGCCTGATGTTTTGTTGATGAGGGACGATTCAGGTGACGTCAGAGGTGCCTAAAACCAGGCTAACATAACAACCCTAACCCTCGTTTTGTCGTCTGCCCTTCTCCTTGGAGGTGATATCCCGAGGAGGTCAAGTTTATCACGGTTGACAACAAGAATGAGAAAAATCCTCTAATAATTGAGGCAGGGAAGTGTACATGTATGATACTACGATTTCTCCCAAGTTTCTGCCCAGCCGTGACTCTCTGAAACCAGCTCTTTTCCGTGTAGTCCAAGCTACCCTAGACCTCATCCCTCTCCATCGAAAGGTAAGGTACCTAGGTACATGTAGTTTCAGCTGGCGAGCTACACTTAGTGGTTAATTATCGACAAGTGATCAAGTGTTTGTTAGAGTCAATTCTACGGCACCAGCAAAAAGGAAATGTCCTCGCCCTAATTGCTGTGGCAAGTTCAGTATGGCGCCTGATCACGATCGTCAAATACCCTCCATAATCTTGGGTGGGGGGGTGCTCGTGTTGCCAATGCGTTGATCATAGTAACGAAACTCTGACAACGAGGATTCCTTAGTATCGGTGAACGAATTACTACGCGAGTTCTCTCTCCCGAAGCATTCATAAAGGCAAAATAGGTGGTGTTCGAAGAATGTCGCACCCTTGCCATTGCGTGAATGCTGATGGAGCACCGCCCGGCTAAGTTCTTATCCTGGTGAGAGAGACCATGCTCCCGATTGCGTCTTAATTAACTTAGTTCATGGGGTACCCCGCAATGGTTACTGTAGAAGGCAGAATCGAGAGAATTGGCATTATTAAATTCGTTATTTTCCAACACCATCAAGACCACTTGACCTTCTTCACTGTGCTTCTCTTATATCATAGTCTCACAATTTCCCTCTGTCCCTCGAAAGTGGCATTTAAATTCTCATCAACAATGGCCCAATCGACGTCCCAAGAGGGCCGGAGTATTCTACTCATCAACGGCCCCAACCTTAACCTGCTGGGTACTCGCGAGCCCGAAATATACGGTAGCACTACCCTCCAAGACGTCCTCGACCTCGCCCAAAAGCAAGCAGCCGAACTCGGTGTTAAACTGCAAACATTTCAATCTAATTGGGAAGGGGCCATCGTCGACCGCATCCAGGAAGCCCGCACGCAGGGTGTGGACGCCATCGTCATCAATCCTGCTGCCTTTACCCACACGAGCGTGGCAATCCGTGATGCTCTTCTCGGCGTCGACATCCCCTTTGTGGAGCTGCATGTGTCAAATGTACACACGCGAGAGCCGTGGCGACACCACAGCTACTTCCAGGACAAGGCTGTTGCCGTGATTTGCGGCATGGGCACATATGGATATACGGCTGCGTTGGAGTTCGCCGCCAGGCATATGAAGCTAAAGAAGAAGGCACTGAATTGAATCGAACATCATTCTCCCCTCGACGGGACCAAAGGAACCCTGAAAGCCGTTACAGCATTATTGTATCAAGATCGGTAGTCCTTATACTGGGAAAAAAGCAAACTCACCCCGCCTGGCTATAGAGAAATCACTGTGTGAACCCAATGTTAGAAATTCGTACCAAGTATCATTATAGAGCTAGAAGCTACGTAATATTTTCCAAACGCTCGCTATGTAATCAAATCAAAATAAGTGCAGTCAAGTAAACTTGGCTCAAGGAGGGTCAAATATATTGTGGTAGTCCAGCAATGAGCCATCTCTGGAGAGACCCAGATGTTCCATGAAATCTTCTGAGAAGACTGGCCTGGTCAAGGTTAGTATGCGAAGAACCTCGATCGAGAATTAATGCAATGTACGTACCAATCCGCCCGGTCCAACAGACTGAGTTGGTTAAATAGGCCGTTTTGGTCGCTCGTTTCGGATAGCGACGCATTGGAAATTGCGAGCTGACTTTCCATACCCATCCCGCCTACTTGGACCTGGCCGATTGCTTGACTAGAGAGAGGGGGCGTTACGATTGTGCCTATTGGGCTCTTGGACTTGTTTGGCTCAGTCGACGTATTAGGTGAACTCCTTTTATTTGTCGAAGGGGACATTCCGATGGTTTGCATGGAGTGGGCGGCCTGGAGTGCTTGGCCTTTCGTTGAAAAGGGTTCCTGATCATTGACACCATCAAATACATTGCTAGCCGGAATGTTTATCGTGGGTACAAGCAATTGTTCGCCCAAAGGCAAAGAATCGTTCAACATCGCAGGAGGGATGCTTTCGGATTGCAGAGTCTCCCCAGACTGTAGTATTGGTCGATTCCATGAAGCGGGAACTATTGTGCTGGTAATGAGATTTGTGTTTTCTTGCACCATCTCAAGAAAAATCCTGGCTATTGGGAAAACCTGTGTCAAATTTACCACGGTGGTATTTATAGCCGGGTCGCTTAGGATTCTTTGACTCTCCGCCAGAGAATCGTGGATTTCCATGGGTGAAGCCCCTGTTTCTTGTGTAGTGTTTGTCTGGCGACTATGTTGATTTGATAATATGGCATAGGTTGCCATGGCTGCAAGTCTAAGCTGCAGAGTGTGAGGTGCCTCTGATACAAGTCTAGAGGGATCTTTGAAAATAGAAAAGCAGTCACGGAGAGGGTTCCTATCGTTCCATTCTTCGAGCCGATGGAGGTATTGATGTGGGTTGATTGTTTCGTTTTTGTGATCAGAGGAACATGATAGGCTGTTAAGAATAGCAACAATGTAACAGAAATGGTTGAATGTACTAAGAACTCGGCTAGGACCAGGAGAAAAGGCGGCGGGTTGCGCGTTCATATTGGTAATGGGACGCCAGAGTTCCCATTCCTCGATCCCATCACTACTGAGAGTTCCAAGATCGAAGAAGTCATTCTGCTGCAGGTATGGGCGGAGACCAAGCTGAGAAGCAATCAGTGTGTCAAGCACAAAACAGCCAAGAGCCAGTCTTTGGCGACTATCGTCGGAATTAACCATATCCAGCCCTTGCCTGACAGGAACAATTCCTAGACCAGAGGCAATGTAGACTGCTCTGCCCACACATATCCAGGCATTCATCCAAGACTTTTGGCTTATCTCGAGCAGGGCCAATGTTAAGAGGGCGTGCACATGGCCAGCTTCATATTCTGCATGCGCCTGGCCTGCCATATGCCTAGCCAGGGCATATAATGAAGTTCCGGAGGGAGTCGCGGATGGATCCACAACTAATAGTTGATGCGATCCATAGGCGAGAACGGCCCAGAGAGAACAAATTTCCCCCGAGGATGGCTTCGGACCTTGTCCAAGTCCCCCCGGGCCGCACAGTAGGCTTGCGGAGCGATAGAGTGTGTACTTTTGTATTATTGGTAACCAACAATGGGTGTTAGTCATGTATATTTCAATCAACTGGGACCAGTTCGATGGCAAGGTGGGAATAGAAAAGGCATTCGGGATGAGGTCACCGCGAGTAGGAGGCTGTGGTTGTTTAGGGATTGGTAGTGGAACAACAGGTGAGACAGTATCTGGCAGATGACCGATTACGTTTGCTGGTTTTGAAAGCTCCCCGAAGCTAGCATTTTGGTATTGGCGAGGCAGCGCGTTGAATGCAGATGTGAGTTTGTCATCCAGGTTCTGAAGGTACACATCTTCATCCTCGTCATCATCCGAAGAGAGGAGTGCTCCCTGGAGAATATCATGGGCTGTGCTCTTGCGCCACGACTTCAATAGCGAGGTAGTGGGAGGGGCAGAAGTAGGACCAAAGGGTGTAGATTGGTTCGCCTTGTGACGAAGTACGGCGGATATGAGGTCCTCGGCACCAGGGGATGAATGAATAAGGAGCCCTAAGAGGATCTCGATGCCTCTGACATAACCCGTACGGAGCCCTCGCTTCCGGTAAGGGATATAAGAACAAGGCCTCCCGGCTTTGATGCATCGTTGGCATGTGGGTTGTGAACCATCGCAGCGTTCCTTACGACGACGACACGGATCGCAAGCCCGAGATACTCGAAGACGCTTCTTCACAGGGCCCTCATCCTCCGAGCCAGCTCCGATATCATCGGACGGTGGAGGTGGCCCATCGCCTGGGGCACGGCCTGCCATAGCCGCATTGAAACACAGACGGATGTTTCTCAAGCCGAGCGGAGAAAGTGAGAAGCGGGTGGTTTGAGTGGGAACAAGCAGTGCCGGGAAAGGGGTTTCATTCGACCCACCAACCCAGTGGACAGGAACGATGGACCCTGGAATAGGAAAACCTGAGTGGAATGAAAACAGAAGAACAGATGAGAAATGGTCTGACAAACACCCGGGCAGGCATGCGTGGCCGGACGATTGCTTAACAGGTAGAAGGGTTCTGCTGCGAGTCAAGCACGACGAGTCTTGTGGATACCGGTAAACCTTTCATCCGAAACCTTTCCAAGGGTCCACTAGAAGGACGTTGATTTGCCCCCTGAGTTCAAGCTAAAACTAATTCTGGGGCCTCCATTCCCACGTCTTCCGCACACAATCCTTGTTGGGTCTGAAGTCGTGTCTCCCAATCTTGTCTGATGTCCATACTTGCCTTCATGTCCGCACGACACACACCAGCAGAACCGTAACCTTCATAATCTTGCGCCGGTCTATTAACGCTGCCAGACCGCGGAGGAGCAAAAGCATATACACGGTCTTGTTCCCTGGAGCAATGCCCGAACTGCTGCTCCAGCATTCCGGCTCATCAAGAACAGAACCATGACGAGGGCTGTTCAGAGGAGCACCAGCTCTGATGCATCTTCAACCCAAAATGCAACACCACACAAGCATGAAAGTCCGGTACAAGTCTTGCTAGATGCCTCAAGGAGTCTGACAGCAATGGACTCTGCTGTTCCAGATGCCCTACCGCTGTCATCAGTCCCGACATCATCATCACTGTCGAGGACCGTCACAGCATCGGCATGGGGCCTCGATGCGTCCATTCTCATCTTGGGCATTCGTGGAACAGGTAAAACTAGTCTGGCTCTCTTGGCTGCAAGCTGCATAGGCTTTCGGCTTGTCGACGCAGATCAACATTTTTATCAGGCAACCGGGCTCCCGCGAGCCCTGTACCTGTCGCGCCATGGCCTTGAAGCATACCGAAAGCACGAGCTCCAACTTATGCACACTCTTCTGCAAGAAAATCCAACTCGATCTATTATCGTCTGTGGACCTGGGTCGGCGGAGGGTACTGGTCAGGAGCTTCTAAAGGATTTCCGCAAGAGGCATCCCGTCATCTACATTTTGCGTGATCCAGAGGATATCGACCAGTATTTACGCACAAAGGATGTGGCCAAAATTGCCAAGCTCTCGGAGCTGGCGAGCCCTAGCTACCGAAAGCTTTCCAACTTTGAGTTCTATAATCTATCAGAACGCCTGGAGTCAATGAACTCACTCGGCGCGCAGTTCCAACATTACCCTTCCCTCATCCTCAAAGATGTGGAACAGGATTTCATTCGTCTCATCTACAGTATTAGAAGCCAGTCCTCCCGACCCCGTGTCTTGCAAGCTCGTCACTCCCTCTCGTTCCTCCCCCCCGAATCAAAGCCCTTTACTTATGCTCTCACTATCCCCATACAAATTGTCTCCGAAATTGCCATTGAACTTCGCCGTACGGACCTGGTGGTTGATGCAGTAGAGCTGGTCATCGATCTCAGCTTGCTGCTTGCTGATGGCAAGGCATTTAATAATTCCATTGCCACCTATTTGACGAAGGAATACCACACCCTACGCCGAAATGTCCGACTTCCTGTCATCTTCCACGTATGTTTCTCAGATACCAACCTCCCGGGGGCTTTTGTTCCACCGCCAGCCAAGCGCATCGAAACGTACAGCGAGGTGCTTGACCACGGACTTCGACTGGCGCCGGATTATCTCACGATTGATCTGTCCTACGACGCGGATTCCGCTCAGACATTGATCGCGCGGAAAGTAGGCACAAAGATAATTGGTCATTTTTCGGATCCTCAGCCGGAACCTGGAGCTTGGGATTCAGCCTCTCGATTCCATCTTCTTGAGAAGGCCAACCAATGGGGATGTGATCTGGTCCGAATCTGTCAATATTCCACCTCGTTTGAAGACAACACTGCAAGACAGCGGTTTCTCTTCCAAGCTGAAAGACTCGGATTATGCCGGATGCCACTTATTACCTACAATATAGGGCGTTATGGCAGAGCATCCTCCTTCATTAATTCCACCCTGACTCCAGTCACTCATGCAATGGTGCAGGCTCGACAACCCAGTCCACCAGGTATCCCGATGCTCACGGTACAGGATGCACAAAATGCGCTATATTCTTCGTTTACTCTCGACAAACTGGTATTTGGCATTTTCGGAAGTGCAGTTAGTTTGGCCATGTCGCCCCCAATGCACAATGCTGCCTTCGAATTCTGCGGGATGCCGCATCGATATCAGATCTATCAATCTCCGACGTTAGTTGACTTGAAACCAGTCTGCCTAGACCCTAATTTTGGGGGCGCCAGTATAAGCTCACCTTTCAAACGAGAAATCCTCTCCCTCTTGCACTACGTGAGCCCAGAAGCTGAGGCCATCGGGGCCGTCAATACCGTTATTCCACTCCGATCAAAACGACTACCTTCTCTTATTGAACGCAACAGGGCTGGCCCGGTAGTCGCTTTATTTGGTGACAATACGGACTGGATTGGTGTTCATACCTGCATCCGCCGAAACTTGTCACCCATCAATGCGGCCAATAACAGGAAAACCGCGCTCATTCTTGGTGCTGGAGGTATGGCCCAAGCAGCGGTCTATGCGGCCATTCGGCTGGGTGTCCAGAGCGTTCTCATCTATAACCGGACATTGGCCAACGCAGAGAAGCTCGTTCGTCATTTTGACGGCCGAACCTTCTCCGTTCATAACATCAATCTACTACAGGAGAGCCCGAATTCATCACCACAGAGCTCTGGCACGAGTACGCCAATCAACCCAACAACGGGCCCTATCCGGGTGCATGCGATTCCTTCCCTAGATGAGTCAATGCCTTCAGGGATCAATCCGCCCACCATTATCGTTTCATGCATTCCCATGGACAGCAAGGATGGCCCAATACCGCCAAACAACCAGCTGCCCGAGGCTTGGCTCATGAGCCCCACGGGCGGCGTGGTTATTGAAGTAAGTTGATCTCCATCATGGGAATTTCGATATCGGGGCTTTACTAAATACTCTTCTTTTGAAGTTGGCCTACAATCCCCGTGAAACGCCACTACTTTCTCAGGTTCGAACTCTCAAGAAGAAAGGCTGGATAGCCGTCGAGGGCTTGGAAGTGCTGCCCGAACAAGGAATTGCCCAGTTTGAGCTTTTCACGGGTAGAACGGCCCCTCAGCATTTGATGAGAGAAATTGTAGCGCAGAGAATAAAGGACATGGTTCAAGGAAGGACATGATAGGTGCTATGAATCAAGCAGATGGGTTGAGTGAATTCGTTGGTAATGTTTATGATTTGGGATTTAGCGAATCAGGTAGATAGCCATATTAGCGTCGCATCTTAAATATCAATTTTGAGTGAATTTTACATATTCTATAAGCGAGATCAACTCGGAAACTGCGTTGTTTCTGTCGTAACTTGTAGCAGCATCCGAGGTTCAGTAATGCCTATTAATCTCTCACGGAACTAACTTCTACGGCTTTCACTGTGGCCCGCCTTGATGGTGCAGGTGGGGTTATGGCGAGGGGATGTACTGGCAAAGAGTTTTCCCGTGTTACCCCAATGTGCTATGATGTTCGCTTATGCTCGCCGAGCGGGATATGGATAAACAACCCCGGGTCAGCGTCATTGTCGAGGTCAAACACTTATCCATCATTGCATCAATCTCACAACTACCAGATTAGCTCCTCCTCCTTAACGCTCGTTCAAAATGATTTATAAGCCAGCTATTATGAGTGCTTCGCTCGGTCGAGCCTGGCTTCATGATTTCGATCACAAAGTTCAAGAGGCGAGTAAGGCCGGCTTCAAGGGCATCGAGATCTTCTACGAAGATCTAGATTACGTTGCTCGTAAAACATCCAACAACGATTCTCCAAGCCCCGACCAACTTCTCGATGCAGCCAGTCATTGCTCGGACCTCTGTCAGCAAAATGGCCTTGACATAATAGGCCTGCAGCCCTTTCTCTTCTACGAAGGGCTCAAAGATCGGTCTCAACACGACGCCTTGATCGAAAAAATGAAGCTATGGCTCCGAATCGTCAAAATATTAAAAACCGACATCATTCAAATCCCGGCCAACTTTCTGCCGGCGGACCAGCTCATCGGCGATTTTGATGTGATTGCATCCGACCTGCGGGAGCTGGCTGACCTGGGCGCAGCAGAAACACCAGTCGTCAAGTTTGCTTACGAGAATCTATGCTGGAGCACGCATGTTGACACATGGGACAAGCTATGGGATATTGTGAAGCGTGTTGATCGTCCCAATTTTGGCGTGTGTCTGGACACGTTCAACATCGCGGGGCGAGTTTGGGCCGATCCTGCTTCACCCACTGGGAAGACGCCAAACGCGGATGCTGATCTGGCTAGTTCAATGGAACGAATGGCTAAAGAGGTGGATATTACCAAAGTCTTTTATATCCAGGTGGTGGATGCGGAGCGTATGTCCTCCCCTCTGGTGGCTGGGCATCCTTTTCATACTGAAGGCAACCCGCCTCGAATGAATTGGTCCCGCAACGCGCGACTGTTCATGTACGAAACGGATCGGGGCGCGTACCTCCCGTCAGAGGATATTGCTAAAACGATTATATTCGACATGGGATATAAGGGGTATGTATCAATGGAACTGTTCTCAAGGTCAATGTCAGAGGAAGGGGAGCAGGTTCCAGGCGAGCATGCGCAGAGAGGTATCAAAGCTTGGAAGACTCTGGCCCAGAAATTAAATCTCAATTGATATGAATATTGCCTTGATCTTTTCAGGCTTAGTCTGAAGGTATTCTTGATCCATTTAGCGGCTCATAATGAGAATTTAGGACAGGCCAAGAGCACAACTATGTATTATCATCACTAAAATGTTGCGCCATATGTAGCAGATGAGAATTTGTATTGAAGAAGCTAAGTCCAAAGTAGGCTAATCTGAGCTCGTTCATCAAAAGGTCATCGCTAGCATCGATTGAGGAATATGCAGATGAAATGTCGCCATCGTTTCCGGCCCACTTACACCGTCGTCTGCGAGAATCGCGAGTGTCGACTGGTCAGACATCGAAAATTGCACTCTCCGCTTCGCTTCCAGCAATGTAATATATATCCACTCATACCATGTCCGATGACGGCAGTTGTTGAAGTGCCACTACTGATTAATAATGCGTTTCTCGCCATCAACGTAGGTCTATCTGTTGCTGTTGAGGTTCTATCGCAAAATCTGCACTTCATTATTACACTCCCCACCACCACCAAGTCTCTGAGGCTCCTATGTTGGTTACTTCGTCTCTTGGTCAGTCAGAGTTTCCTCAGCCTCGTCGAATTTAGATACCAACTCCTATCAACGTCCACATATTAAATCAACATGCCCGGGTCTACCGTTCTTCCTCCATCGGGGGGGAACGTCGTCAAGCCGACTACTACTTTCACTGGCGAAGTCTTTGTGGATCTCGTCCACAAAGGAAACGACGCCGGAGTCGGCAATGTTACTTTCACACCATGTGCCAGATCTCATTGGCACACGCATGAAGGAGGCCAATTGATCAAAGTCGTTTCTGGTTCTGGATGGATCTGCGACAAGGGGGAGGAAGCACGTCGAATTAAGGCCGGCGACACGATTTGGGCCGAGCCAGGCACTACGCATTGGCACGGAGCAGATGATGGCAGTATCCTGACACACTTTGTTGTCGGAATCGGAGCCACCACTTGGCTTGAACCTGTTACAGACGAGGAGTACCATAAGAGGGAGAAAGAGTAGTGCCTTTTGTGCATAGCTGATGATGAATTATCGTTAACTCAATATCTATCACATTTCTGGTCCACGCCGGACTATCTTTATATCGCTGGGGGACAGTTTATCTTCACGGCGATCATGCTTCCTCCTGCCTCATATAGTATCATAAGAGCTTGCCGGCTTCCCATCATAGTTATCAGGGTTCAACCGGAGTTCTCTAGTATCATACTAATTTACGCAAAGATACATAGTGGGAAATGAAATTCTCGGGCTGATATCACGGGCACGACTATCTTTCATCGAATTGTTGAAGATGGAAAAAGTGAATTGGTTGAAGTTCTCCTGAAGGCCGACAGCACGGCAGTCGAAAAGGCTATCAACCACATATGTTTAGGAGGAGTATTAGCAATCGCGCCCCTGTACACCATATTGATGTCAGTGGTCCCAATCTTGTGGCCAGGCTCTTAGAGACTGGAGCAGATGCGTATTCCACATTTGAATTTTGGCCAAGGTCAGCTAAGAGTTCTCCAAACAGTTCCCGGAGGCTCAGTGATGTAGAAGCGAACAAAAGAATTTCCAGAGGGATCAGGCTATTCTGCACACCATTCACTCAGGCCTTTTCAAAGCCGTATTGAGTCTTCTAGAAGCAGGAGCTAATCCAAACACTTTGAAAGCAGGCATAAAACAATTTGTGTTCGAAGGAGAGCTAGCCCCGCACCGCACTAGTATGGTCATCTTAGATATTGTAGATTCATACATCTCGAACATCAAATCGTGGCTTTGCGAGATGCAGCGTATCGAAGAGCCACAAAAATCAACCTTACAAGCTACCTAGAATGGACAAACATCTACAGAAATATAAGCCAGGGACAAAGCAGCACTGGGTCGTGAAGGGGATTATTAAATCTCGTACAAAAGATTTCACTGGCCACTAAAGGGAGGACTATGACAGCCGGCTACAGGCTGTGAACGATCAACCAGAGACCAAGACAAACGAGGCAATTGGAGATGTGAAAAGGGTTTTAGGAACTTGCGAACCGTTTTCCTCTCGAAAGGTTCGAAGCCATTGATTCTTGGAGCCCAAGAGAATCTTCGAAGCACGAGTGTATTCCTTAGCCACAAGTCCTAACCAATACCCTTCACCGACCTCACTGCGATTTAGAGGCCAGCCTAACATGTCCCACCATTGAACCTTTCTTGGCGTTCTTCCCCTCCTCTGTTCAGGTGGTGCCTTACTATGTAGTACGTATTTTTATTAGAATGATCCTTATTGCTATTATGCGCCTTAATGCCATCCACATACTATGATTCATTCTGGTGATTAATCCCGGGGGAAGCCATATGACATGTCGAGGTAGATCTATGGCGTGGCTCTAATCGCTCGCCTCACTGGCATTGGCGCTCGGTTAAGATCAAGAGCAGATACCACCATGTGATTATATTTTAGTGACTTGCAATGTTCTAGTCAGAGAATAAACGGGATATTCTTCCAAATCAGCGAAGAGTGTGTGGAGATGTGACTTTTGATACACGAATCCCAAGTACCCTCTGCCTGCGTCGTCGACCAAACCACCTTCCCCTCTGGTCGTGGACGAAAGAGCTCACATAGTGTAGCGCTCTGCCAGAGCTTTTGGCTCCTGCGCTCAATACTTGGATAGTATTTTCTTCTCCATTCTGAGAATCTGCTGTCTCCGCCTCAACCTTTTCCTGCGTGGGACCAAACAGAGGGACTGTTGCGTAGGTGCACAGAACATTAAATAAATTCACCTTGCATTCGTGTACCATATCAGCCTCGTCCGACGAGATTGAAAGACACGATGGAGATGTCGAGCCCGAGCTTGAGTAGTTTTCCCACTCGCTATCTAGACCTTCGTAAGCCAGGCCTAAAGGAGACTTGCCTTTCTTGTTTTTTAAATTCCGGTCGGCGCCCAGGTCCAGTAAATTTTTGACCATTTGCCACGAACCTTTGCTGTGGATTTCTAGTTGATAATAATAGGTCCTGCTCGTCCAGAGGGAGGAAACAAATACATGCAGAGCCGTTTCGCCGTCGACGTTCATGGCATCGACATTGAGGCGCTCATCTTGCAGAAGAAGCTGGAGTACATCCATGCCTTCTGTCCTGTTCAAAAAACACACGTCTAGCGAGTAGAACATGTTATGCAAGATGGTGTTCCCCCAGTGATCTTGTGCGGACAGATCGAGCCCAAGACGGAAAAGCAATTCAAGCTCTTCTAGGCGCAAAGCGGATACAAAGTGTCCTCCATCCAGAACCGGGTATAGCATGAGCCTCTGATGTACGAGACCTTTTCCAGAGACAGGGTCCGACGAATTGATGCTGATGCCCCACTGCTTGATGATCTGTACAAGGTTTCGGAAAACAGTATCAGCGGAACAATTACGATATGAAAACTGCCCCAAGACGCTTTGTAGTAGATGCCAATGGTCATCAGTGCTTGCGCGCCACTCGTTGACAAAAGTGTGTGCAAGTTCCATGTTTCCGGTTCGCAGGGCGCTGCCGAGTGCTGTGTCCCCGTGTCTGTCTTTCGCGTCGACGGGCACCCCATAGGTTTCAATCAATAAACGACACACGTTTGCCCGGCTATAAAGAGCAGCTTTAGAGAGAATTTCTCCTCCTTCCGCTTCCAGCACTTCCTTGGCGCCTCTACTTGCCATCATCTGGGCGAAAGTGGCTGGCTCATCGAACTTACTACAGTAATCATGCAACACCGCGACTTTTCTTCGGTCCCTCTTTGTAGGATCTGCCCCATATTCAAGCAGGAGCGTCACCATGTTGAGACGACCGAATTCACAGGCCCAATGCAGCGCGGTCATGCCGTATCCGATTTTTTGGTTGACATAGACTTCGACTTCGCGACTGCCAAACTGCTCCGTCCTCAATTGCAGCAGCCGCCGCGCTGGACCCTCCCAGCCGAACTCGCACGCGACGCCCAACAGTAATTGATTACCGGAAAAATAGACACCACCCCGGCAAATGTACCAGTTTCCTCGGAGAGCCGATCTCTCACTGAAGAAATCCTCATGCAGCCGGGCAAATGCCCCATAGTCGGAAACCTGCAAAAAATGATAATCCCAGTAACAAACGGCATAAAGACCAAGCGGACAGTTGAAATTCCTCGACAATGACCAGTCGTGGTAGCGCTCAAAATCATCTACACATGCATTTCTCATTTCGTCCATTAACCTGGTAGCTATGTCTTCGTGCATGCGTCGTGGGTCGCGGTATACCGCTCACTTCTTTGCAATTTATTGCACAACTCACCAAAATGCGCAAGCCTCGACCTGTGTGACTTGAAGTAAGTGCCCGCAAGCTCTTATATAATCCAGACATACTTGTTCACGCCCATTGAAGGGCGTAGATTGGATATACAGCGCTTCACAGATTTCCGACACAGCAAGTGGCCTTACAGCCAGTGCGACCCAGCCCAGCAGTTTTGATATGATCTCTGCTTTTCCAGGGTCAACTTGCCCAAGAATTCGGTCGTAAACCGCGTCAAGGCCAGTCGGTAGCTGGTCCAGTGCCGCTTCGATTTGTACCACTGTCTTCTGAAGAAGATCATGCGTCATGAAACTGACCCATAAAAACGTATCCTGTGCTCTTTCGAGGAACACAGCCTTAATCTTATCGTGCAATGGTTCGTTGTTGATCCGTTTTTTCTGAGCCAACTCACCCACCCTGTCCATGATATAGCGTTCGACATCGTCCTTTGCTGCTATCTCACTATCGATCTCAACAGAAATAGCTGAAAATAGGGCTTCAGCGATATGCTCCGGGTGTCTCCTGCTTAGTGCGATGAACTTGATTGTCAATTTCGCTTCAATAAGCTTGTTAAACTTCTTCAATACCAGCAGCGCTGATTCCTTTTCACATTCATCCAACGCATCAATCAGGCAGCAGACCTCAGTATCCGGTAAGTATTCCATCATATCCTCGAACATTCCCCAAAGAGATTGGAACGAGTTTGCGCCGGAGAAGACATCTGGCTGTATTCTCCACTGCTGCAGAGGGATCCGCATCAGTTCTTTGCGGTACTGAGTCAACTGATATATCAATCCGCGGAGTATGCTGCTCCCCGTATTTCGCGTTTCCACCTTGTTGTCACAAAAGAAGAACAGAGCAATGCTGTCTTTTTGGACCTCACACAGGCGCTGCAAGCGTTTAGATAGAAAGATGGAGAGATGGGTTTTACCCATGCCTGGTGGCGCCGATATCCAAAGTGTCCGGGAGACCCCCGAATCCTCTATCCATGACTGAAATTGCGCCGTTGATAGAAGCCACCTACAAGTCCCCTTGACAATTTCTCCCTTGTCAGTCGTGATGCTTTCGCGATCACGGGTCGGGTCCGTAATGCGGAGAGCTCCAATACACTCTGACTCTTCGGATGTCAATTCTAGGAAATCCTTGAGTTTTCGGAAATTTTCGGACGTCAGGTCGCTTTGGTGCATTAGCAGGCTTATAGTTCATTTGAAAAATAAATAAATAAAAAATAGATAAAAAAAAAGAGAAGAAGAAGAAAAAACCTATGCACTTACGCTATCAACAACTCGAGGGACAGAATCAGGATAGATCTACTTCTTGACAATTTCTCAAAACATTGCCGTATCACTCCCTCTTTGTCGTTACCTAACCCAAATATTCGTTTCAGGGAATCTCGATTAAGTGAGCGGCCGAAGAAATTCTTCTCCGTGGATACGCTTGTGCTTTCAAGTACGTTCAGCGTCTTGAAGCACGAGTCTGTGCAGCTTTTCAAAACCGATACGACTCTCGTACTATGTGCTGTTGGAGAAGAGCACATGTCTTCAAATAGCCATCGCAGGTCCTCAACATCGTCAATCCACCCCGCGAGCTGGGCGCGAGTGCTAGAGATCTGATGGCTCATCTGATTCGCCATTTTGATTATCTTCCCACTAAATTCGAGGAATTCCGAGACCTCGTCTGCAAATTCAAATGTTTTTGATGTGTCATTTGGGACATGATTGATTTGAACTAGAGCAGAAAGTAACTCTTCGCACCGCACACGAAAGGCGGATGTCGATTTGGGGGCGCCATTGGATGTGACACAGCTCTCGCCTTGCCGGCACACGCCTTCAAATGGAATATCGCTGCTCAGGATTTGCTTCATTTTGCCGGCCACAGTTCTTATTAACTCGTCTCCTCTGGTGAATTTGACCATGTTCGAATGGTCGGCATCGATTTGAAGAATTCTCTCATCGTTTGCGGTGATTGGGCCGGGAGGCAACATATTGGATTTGATACGTCCTCCTGTAGCTGACGATGGCGGGACCATAACAACGCCCGTTCCTGTCCGGCTCCAGGACTTGCCGGATTCCTGAGTGCCCGGTCAGTCATAATCTGAAGCTCTAGCGTCTTCACTACTTACAGAAAGACTCGGCGTCTCCTGCGTTTCATATGCCCAAATCAACCTCATGCGTTGAGAAGATGATACACAGGCAAAGTCCTCTTCCAGCTTCGGCACATAGTCGGATCTATCTGAGAGACAGTCGAGGAGTACCGTGTTGGGCTGCTCGCCCAGCATCTTGTAGATATCATCCACGGCCATACCTACACTTGGCACACCGAAAAAGATACCCCCTTTCATGACGTCTAGGATTTCTTGGTCTCTATGGTTTCCGGACAATGCAGCAATGGACTGCTTCATTAGAACACCACCAAGACTGTGAGCAAGAAAGAGCAGCGGTTTCGACAGCCAGCCGCCAGCTTGAAGACTAGTGATAAATGATCTCGCGAGATCGGGAAGAACCTGGAATGATTTGCTTTGATAAAGTTTGGTATCATAGCCATAAATGATAAACCTAACACCAGGGAGCAAGTCTGGCAATTCATCGCGAATCCACATGAAGCTTTTTGCACCCCTTGGCTGCCAGGACCCCATAGGGTGGCTCCCCAGTCCAGAGATGACTACACAGCTGATGGATGGTTAGTTTTTCACCCCAGAATTTCTGCAAGATCGGGATCTAAATGCTAACTCGGTAGTATGACTATTCTCATCTACTTCATTCAATGGTGTCAGGCCATAGAAGTGGGTGTCCAGCACAATCGGTCCCGGGAGCCCAGAAACAGGTAGGTCCCACTGGTTTTTGCTTGGTTCTCGGTCCCCAAGATGGATTGTAGACTTGAACATGACTGTTGCCGTTTTGCTCGATCGACTATCGACGGCTGAAGCGAGGGAGCTGATTTGAATCTCCTCTAACTGAAGGCCAGGGATGCAGCCGACCAGCATCTTGGCGGTATCCAGGCGGTCCACGTGGGCAGGCAAATATCTCAGCCTGTACACTTTGGAGCTCTGCTCGGGCGCCATGATTTGGTGACGTACGTCGGGTTGATCGCCCGACGTTTGTTGATTGTTGCCAGCGTGTTCTGGACGTGGTGATGAACGAGGATGAGCTGAAACCCCGCCGCAAATCGAAACCAGCCGCAGGTCAGCTGGACACAAATGTGATGTTCTTACATCAGCATGCATATGCAGTCTTACTTGAATAATAGGGCCAATCATATGTGACATTGATTTCGACGAGAGCGACTCGCGATCGCGAGGTAAGTTAAACAGGCGGGCGTGAATTTAATCGCTGTATAGGTTTTAAATAAGATTTCTTTTCCTAGAACTGCCTTGATACTGAGCTAAAAAGTTATGGCTTTAAAAGGCGAGAGCGTAACTATTACCACTCATACTCAAAATACAAAGTCAACGTTCGCCCAGTACTTATAAAATATATATCCGTTGGCCGCACCTTGCCATTCTACGTCCGACAGAAATATTTAAAACAGCCACTGCCTACCCATGATGCGGACTCCTTCAATTTGTTTCCATGCCTCCTCTGATATCTGAGCAGACCCTCTCTTGCCAACTGTTTCGAAAAATCGTTTCAAATTTGGCAGTTTACCATCCGCAAAGAAGTCGACCCCGTACACTCCACTTGCAAACTCCAAAAGGGCAAAGAGCACACAGTCAGCGATGTTCATCTCTGGGAAAACGTCGCTCTGCAACCTATCATCCGTTTCGTAGTACTTCTCGATAGTACCCAGCGTCTTTCTGCAGTATTCCATTGCGAGGCGTCCGGCATCGGCATTTGTCTCCTCCATCGGCACGAACAACTTGCTACCCTTGTGGCAAGTGAAGCCGAACTGACTGCTGGCCTCGTCGGCAAGTCCCATTATCTCTCTGATTCTGGCCCGAGCCTCCGCCGTTTCGCCTCTCATACTGTTGCAGTGGGTTCCCTTAAAGAGATCCTTTTGCCATTGGTCGTTTGGTTGATCACAGATATCCTCCAAATACTCCAGAATTGCGAGGGACTGTTTAATAAAGGTGCCGTCGGGCAAGCGTAATATGGGCACAGAGCCGGGTGGTTTGCCTGGGGCCGTCATTCCTGTCTGGGAAATTTCAACAGTTATAATGTTGATATGAGCTGAGTTGATTAACCCCTTCTCGTGAAGATATATCAGTACCCGCCGAGGGTAGTAAGTTGCAGGTAGAACATAAAGGTCCATGGTAGTTGTTGACATGATGATTAACAGTATCGATTCTTGAATCTATAATGGAATGGGATGAAGACTTCTCGATGTTATAATGCGGATATCATGTCGGTATTTATACATGCAAATATTTCTCCTCGGCAACATCTTCGGCAACATCTTCGGGAACTTTTTCGATAATGGATCAAGCCCCGAAAACCTAGCGAGATATCTAGAATATTCTTAACAACCCCTCTTAAGAAAGGTTTTTTATTGAGCATTTGAAAATTCATAGCAATTTAATAAAAGGAGTCAATATAAATATTCGCAGACCCGACTCGTTTACCGCCCCCAAAATTTCACCATCATGTCTTCCGGCAATGCTTTCTTCTCCTCGGCTGCCTTGAAAACCCTGAGAGTTCGAGAATCAGACGATTTCTCGAATATGGCAACACAGTTACCTCCGCCAAGACCTTGAGCGATGCTACGCAGCTGCTTGAGCGTGACCACCAACTTTTGCAGCTGCGTCTGGTGATCCTCCTCCCATTTTTTGAACGAGGCCAAAACATTAGTGACCACCACCTTGTGAAATGTGCCATTGGAATGGACGCCACGAATCAGCCGGGGGGTTCGCCCAAACCAGAGCTGCTGCATGTATTTGTTCGGAGGGTTGAGTTGACTACCGGTTTTGATTTCGGCTGCTGTCGTCTGATGCCTTAACCCAGCCTGCCTCATTGACTCAGCTGCATGGATGGTTCCAAGGTCTGGTGATTGTGAGCAGTCTGTCGAGAGGTTTTCCATTCGGGAACATAAAGACTGGGAACCAAGATCCACTATCATGTTTGTTGATCCCGAACCTCCCGGCTCTCGGTCCTCATGATAAGAAGCATCGACTTCAAAACGGACGATACAATTCAAGTCGCCCAAAGGATATCGCAAAACCGAGTGGTGAGAAGAACTGGCTTCCAATCCCTCGGGGTAGGTTGTGCAAGCACTCTCAAACACTCGACCGAATCCATGATCGTATGAAGCTCGAATCATTGTCGATGCATCACGCTCGCATCTTTCAATGAACAGAGTATTGTTGACCACCAGAAGGTTGACCCGGAAACTTTCTAGGAATTTCTGGCTGCAAAATAATAACAGGTTCCTCAGACTATTTCGATTGCAAATAATGTCAACATCGTTGAATCGGAGGCCGGGATTCATCACCTCCACAGCTATAAAAAGCGGTTCAAATGAATGGCGAGGCATGTAGACTTTATCGGTAGAGCGGGGACGGTGTCTTCTAGTCCGTGTAAGACTAACAGGCAGGTCAATCTCCTTCCATTTCGGCATGCATCCTGTCAATCTTTGTTAGTGTTTTGAAGTAAGAAGACGTCATGTTGCAGATAACACTGACCGGGACTTATAATCTCTGCACCTCCAATCTGCCAGTTGTAACTACATATCAAATCACACCCTGGTGAGCTTGACACTTTTCCCGCATCTGGCCACAGATTCAACTCCGAGGCATTAATTGTGCCCAACACTTCATGTCTTCGGACCCCCTTCCACATCCATGCATCTCGAGATGTCTCAGCAGGACGATGCGTCTGTCTTGAAGTCGTAGAATCTGTATCGCATGATTTTCCAAGTCTTTGTATATCGCTCTGATGCTGGGCGAGGTGCTGGTCAGCGCGAAATCGGCGGCCACAACGGCACGTTGGCATGATGTGTGTTAGGCGAGGCGAAAAAGGAGACGAGTAGGTGAACTGCTGGTCGTAAAGCCTAAGCGCAACTAGAAAAGCCGAGTGCGTATGCGACGGGCTGGGGTTATAATTTTACTACAGGACAGTGGGTTGGGGTCAACAATTATAGATAATAACTGCCTTGGAGGTCCAGACATGGCTCTAAGGGTGGCACAGGATACCTCCCAAGAAATACGTGGCCGATAGGGAATGGTGGCAATACAAACTTTCTTGGAAGGCCTCCCGCATTCCCATCAACGAACCAAAATTGACATGTCAGATAGACTACGACGTGGGGGGCGGAAAGTCAGTGACACGACTCCTCGCTTGTTGCTGCTCCGTCCAGACAATGAATAGAAAGCTATTGAGGGGGTGTGCTAGATGCGATAGGAGAATAGCCTGGTTAGGTTGTGATCATCATAAGCCGCATGAGACACGTACATGGCATGCCTACGACATATTTGTCTCACAGGCTCGGGGGCGGCCAACGGCCATCAGACACGTGTTGGCTGGCCAGATACGACAGTAGAATGGTTTTATCTTCAGAGTGGGCTAGTGTGGACAGACACCTGTAATCTAGTATGAGGCATTTCAATATGCCGTATAGCATCAACTTAGAGCTCATCAGAATATTGACCTATAATGGACGTAGCCGGATTTGTGTCATAACCTATATTCTCGAATAATTTCTTGACGAAATCAGCGAGCATGATATCGCTCCCTTTTGCAGCAATGAAACCCGCTGCTGCGGGGAGCTGTTCGACATTTCCAGTGAACTTAGAAACATACGGCGTAGTTCCGACTTGGACAAGTAAGTCGCCAGGCAAACAAAGATTACAATAGGCTTTCGGACTCACCGGGAAAGATAAGCTCTGGGCTTTGTGCATAAGGCCCCACGTTGTAAAAGAAGAAACCTTCTCCTGTGAACTGCTGTGGACCACTTTTATACGTGTCTCGGTAGACTGGCTCTCCCGTGGTCCAAGGTAGAATCATAATAGAGCTTGAGTACCCATCCTCCGAAGGCGGCATGACTTTCTCATAAAACCATTTCCGATACGTTTCGAGACGCTTATCGGCCAGTTCTTGTTGTTCTGCTGTGATACTTGGAGTGTAGGCCCTGAATATTTATTAACAATCAGATAGTAAGAGGGGTGTGATTCAGGCTGCAGCTGGAAGTCAGACACTTTGAATCGTACTTGAGGATTAAGAACAGGGGGCTTGCCCATCTTGTCTGTATAGTCCTGAATAAATGGTTTCAGCAGCCCCAGCCACTGATCACGGTTGGCAGACCACTCGAAGGCGTGATTGAGATATTGATCTATAGTTTCATCAGTATCGGCCGGGCGACTCTCATTCCACAAATCCGCAAGGCTAATTCTGGTGCGTTTCACCCCCAAGAAGTCTTCCACTTGAGTGATGAAGGCTTCAAAAAGTTTCTCACTTGGCTCATCTTTAACCGGCCAGTAATCCGTAGGGTAAATGAGTTTGGTTGGATTCTAGTAAAAAGGAAGTGAGTAGTAGGCCAGATTGTACGGACTAGGAACTATCCAGCACCTTGAAAGTTTTATAGTATGTTTCTCTTGATCCATACAAAGCTTGTGCGAGAGTCAGATACTCCGCTGCTGTGCGGGAAAACCCACCGATTGTATCCCACTTTCTGTATTGAAAATTGTCAATTCGAGCTTGAGTATTGAACAAAATACCGCTAGCCAGGGTAACATACGGACTGTAGGGCACGAGACCTTTTGAGCTTGTCGCTCCGGTCGTAGGTCGCATGGAGAAAATTCCCTGTGCGGCAGCAGGTGACCGGATACTCCCAAGAGCTTGAAGGAAGGGAGAAGGTTCCGAATCAGCAGCGCTCTAAATGGAGGTCTAGCCCAAGGGAGACACTCACTATCTGTTCCTAGAGCAAAATCTAGCCAGGGATATGTGGCAACAGCAGAGCTGCTACCGGAGCTGCTACCACTGGGGGTCAGATAGCCATCTCCGCGAGGGTTAAATGGCCCGTGATAATCAACGTAGTCGCAGGTTGGCCACTCCGAGTCAGCAAACTGGGTACTCTTCAACTTCCCAACAATTACAAACCCTAAGCCTAGAAGGTGCTGGACAGTTTCGGCATTTTCCTCCTTGATGGGATAGAGCGCGGTGAATGCTCGAGAAGAAGCACCTGTTTTAAGTCCCTTCAGATCAATGATGTCTTTGACAGCGATCCTAATTCCAGAAAATGGTTTCTCGTTGATCTTGGAGTAATATAAGCGGGAAGGGACGGCGACTGTGAGAGCGCCCGGAAACTGTTCACCATACGCAGCCGCATCGAGAGACCGAAAACTTGCACCCAGGGTCAGCCGATTTTGCTCGTTTTGAAAAGGGTCTCCACTTACCCATCATTCCCATCAGGTACTGTTGAAACCATGAACGCACCGGCATGGTCAGGGTACAAACGATACGCTTGGTGGAGGTGACCATGGTGGAGAAAGTAAGGACCCTGGGGTAATGGGGTCGAGTCGGAAGGGAGGATAACAGAGTGAACGACCTTGACGCCGAGTAGGCGTAAGCTCTCCTGGGTTTCGGCGAGCGCAGCATTGTCATTGCCAATTATTTGGATGATAGCATATTGGGAGAACTCGATAGACCATACGTCGTCTCGAGTCTCAAAATCATTGAATATAGCCTGGATAGCCTCCGCAGTTTCTATAGCCTGGCCGTTGATCGTGAGGACGGTGCAGGCCTGGACAGCGTGGTCGTGCTCAAGTGGCGGCCAGTCAACCTTCTGCTCCTGTCAAGTCATTAGCCATAAATTTGGCATACTAGCCAGGTGGTAATCCGCTTACAACAGGGAGCGGGTGAAGGTAGTATGCCACCTGGCCCAGACGGGCAACAGTAGACAGTAGAGGTGATTTAGCCATACCAAGGATAGCCATTAGAATGTTCGAGAATAACGGTGCTAATAACGCCATGGCGGCGAAGGAACAAGCAACGCGTTGTATAGTATCCAAATACTTGGAGGTATGGTTATGCTGGCGCTCAAGTTGCATGTTCTACATGCTGAAAAAAATCAAGGAACGGTGCAGTCGCAAAGATACATTACGCACAAAGGAAACGTAGAACAAGCGGGGACAAGTCGTTCGGGGGGTCAAGGAGACCCCCATAAGTGAATTAGCGAATGCGTGCAAATATAGGAGGACAAAGGTGCCTATTAATACAGTATACTATCAAAGTTTAAATACGTAGCAGTCCTAAAATATGGGATGTGCAATATGCCTCTGCATGTAGCATTCGGCAATACCAAACGTTGAATTTACTTCCATTTTGGAGAATGGTGACATCTCCCAGAAGAATGTAAAGAAGCACTCAAGAACAATGCCACCATCGCTGTTCGGCAAATTGTCCCACAGGAGCAGGCCTTGACTTGGGACGCGCCCGCCAGGGCTATCCCAATGACAGCTCACTCAAGGAGGATCCGCACAGTTTCAATCTCTTCTGGAACAAAGGCTCAAGTTGAAGCTCGGTCACATCCATCCTAATATGTTACTTGTCCAAAGGGCTGTCAATAAAGTGCAGAAGACCTCTCCAGGAGAAAGGGTCGTTCTCTTGAAGCCAATATTTTATTACGACCTGCATAGAATCATAGTAGTAAGTCATAGAACGCACCGTGTTGCCTCTTATGTGGGCGCCGGCATTGTTTATTGGCAAAATACACAGCCACCACACAACTCGTTCATACTTGACACTCATCTAGACGGCGTCTTTCTAGAGAGATAGGAAGAGCCCGAGTACTGCAAGTGCTACAATCAAATTTTCGAGGGTAATTGGGAGGAGCACGACTACTTTGATATCAGCTCGAGCTTAGATGTGGATTGCAACATGTACCAGGACCCTCACGGCCGTTGGGTCTTTCAAATGTATCAGGTAGGAAACCCCTTATAACCGACTCACTAGTTTGAGGTGCTGGTGTAAGGCTAATTAGACTGACTGGATACTAACCAGTGCTGGCTACCTCTATCAAATTCCGTAAAAGCGTCATTGAAGGTTATTCCGGATCTCACGGTATCAACAGCGTACACTCTGCTGCGTCCCTTTGTCAATTCTATACCAGGTGCGCGAGAGCTTGACACGGCATCATCCTTTTCTTATGGGGCAGCAATTCGTTTCCATCATGGAATTTCCTGCGTAATTTTTTTCCTTTGAAAACTTGAGCCTAGATTAAGACCCTAGCCCCAAGTCAAGAATCCCAGAATAGAAAAAAACTAAAGAGAAACCTTCTGCTGGCCCAACCCCTGTTCCCATTGTTCATAATCCAATAAAGGCGACGTCAATGTTGGATCCAGAATCAACTAAACCAACTCATCTTGCCATTTAGGAATGGGCTAGCTTCGTTGGCAGCCTCATGTCAGTCGAGTATCCACAGCTGACGCTCTAGGACTGTTTTGGCCCGAACATGCGCAGACAAGGGGGTCCAATCTGACGGCATACGGAACGAAACACCTAAAACAGTGCAAAGCAGACCATCCAACGAAACGCCAGGCCCACTATTCATCGGTGTTGGGTCTGTATACTAATAAGTGCAGGTGATAAGGTCAAACCTTCCCAGCCTATTTTCAACAAAACATCCAACCCCCAATCTTTGAGTGCAGCCTGTAGCTATTCCTCTGTTCGCTCTCTTTCACTCAAGACATGTCGAGCCATAACACACTGGCAGTTGCGGCAGCGACCATTCTACTTGTAGCAATCACCATGGGTGTTTTGCGGCGAGATCAATCACGCAATGCACCAACGAGCCTTAGCCAAACGCCGAAAGAGCTCCCACAGCCCACCAAAATTGCATTGGATCTCAAGGCGGCTCTCCCCGAAGCCGTGACACTCTCTTCGGAAGCAGGCGCGTTCAGCAAAATCACCGAATCATATTGGGCGAGGCAGAATCGGGAACTGTTCCCTGCATGCTACGTTCAGCCCCGATCTGTTGAGCAGCTTCAGAAGGCGATAAAGCTCCTAAAACAGGAGTACGTCGATACCAAGCATGCAAAAGGAAAACACAATGATGAGGGATTATTCGTCGTCAAAGGGGGTGGAGCTTCTCCAGGGCTCGGATTCAACAACCTAAACTCGGGTGTTGTGATTGACTTGGCTCATTTCCGAGACATCACTTATGCCGACGACTACTCCCATGTCACTGTTGGTTGTGGCCTCAAATGGAAGGATCTCTACGAGGATCTGGCGCCGAGATCTCTTACCGTGGCTGGAGGGAGGACAGTCCCTGTTGGAGTGGCCGGCTTGACTCTGCAAGGTGGCATGTCCTTCTACTCTCCAGTGTGTGGGTTTGTGTGCTCCACGGTCACGGAATACAATATTGTACTTGCCGATGGGAGTGCAGTTGTGGCATCCGAGACGTCTTATCCGGACCTATGGCGGGCGCTAAAGGGCGGATCAAACAACTTTGGCATTGTTACCAGCTTCACGATCCCATGCTTCCCATCCAGCGACATCTGGTTCACGTGCAACTACACTTCTGGCTTCCAGGCTCCAAGCTTGGTCAAGGCATTTTATGACTACGCCAGAGAGGCCAGTTCGGGAAAGCCCGGGGCTTTCGATGAGAATGCCACCATCCCCATTACCTGCTTCGGCTACACGCGCGATCTTGGTGTTCATGCCACGGCGAATTACCTTGGATACACGGTCCCGCCCAAGGACAAGAAATGGCCTGCTCATTGGAAAAAGTCGCCATTTGGATCTCTATGGAATTTATGGAGCACGGCCAAAGTTCAGAGTTTGCTCAGCGCAGTCAAGGAACAGTCGGAGCAATCACCACCAGGGACTTACACTCTATTCGCAGTGACCACTATCAAGAATGACTTGGACACGTTAATGGCTGCTTATAAAGCATATCGTGACTCCTCAGCATTAGGCAAACGAGTCAAGGGGATGGTCCTCTCTTTGGCTCTTCAGCCAATCCTACCTCAATGGTACAAGAATGGCCAGCCTAATGTCCTGGGACTGGATGACTGCGATGAACCTCTCGTTGTTGTGGAAATTACGATCAAATGGGATAAGACGGAAGACACCGAATTAGTCCAAAGCATAGCCCGCCAATTTATTGAGCGGGTCGACAAGGACGCCGAGGCGAATCGGGCGGCTCATCCATTCCGATTCGCTAATTACTGCGCTGAATGGCAAGACCCGATAAAGGGATACGGAGAAGAAAATCTGCAATTCATGCGTACGGTTAGTCGAAAGTATGACCCGGAGGGTGTGTTCCAACGGGCATGCATCGGTGGCTTCAAACTTGGCATGGACTACGACTAAAGGAGGAGTCCATATCAAACCGTTAAAATCGCGTTATTTGGTATTCCAGGAAAGAAGACTCTGCAAGCTCTCTTCCCTTGCCAGTAATTACCTCGAAAACTGAATTCTTTCGAACAATGCAAAAATCAAAACTCATTTTAGATCTAGACGAGTGTAAGATTGGGGTTGAAATAATATGGATGCATCATTCTTTCATAAAATTTCAGATAATTAATTCCACATAATAGTCTCCATGATGACCCAACAACTATTTAGTACGTCCACTACCGGCTTCTCTACAATGAAAATCTCTAGGAATTGTGCTGGTGTCTGTTGCCAAAATAGCATCATCGCCTAGAGTGGCGGTCCTTGAAGGGCTACACATGGCTTACTGCAACTCTTCAAAAAGATTGCCAAGATCTACATTAGCCAGAGCCCTCTCGGTCCCTGAGTCTAAGCTCAAAGTTAAAAAGTAAGTGAAAAGAAGGTACCGTTAAATATCATGATTCATTCCCGCTCTATTTGCCTTGAGTGTTCTATTTGTCTATAAAATTGCAATGTAGTATCCTTATCTTTCCGAAACAGTCCTATTCCCATTCAATACGAATCAGTGGAGTAGAATACACATCCAGCTCAACCCCATCCCATCTATCGACCTTGGAGTAGGTCAGATATATCTCGTTTCGTGATCCCGGCCTCAAGGTTGGGTGGGCTTGAAGAGAATAAGCTGGCAGCGTAGCATTTCCATCCACACCTTTATACAAGAGCGTCGGCTGGGACCATGGCCCCTGGGGCTCTGCGGCAGTGGTGATGAAGAATTCGGCGGAGATGCTAATTCCAGCCTGTCCGATCCAGACATAACGGCTCCAGGGCTCGTAGTAGTAGTAAGTTCCCTGCCCACCTGCTCCGGCATTTACAAGATGAGCATTACTGTCGGATATGGAAGGTTGGTTTGATGTCCAAGAATTCCCGACCCAATACTGATACTTGGACTTGTCCTCAACAGAATCTGCAGCAACCTTGGCCAAGGCAATGGGCTTTCCATTATCATCCGCCTTGGCGTATAGGTATGCCACACCGTCGTTGACCACATTGCCGTACGATCCATATGCAAATGAGCCCTCGGGCCAGAATTCCGGGTTGGCGATTGATACAGACGGCAGGGCCTTGAGGTCGGGGTTCAAGGGATCATAGGTAATCTTATGCAGAGCCGCGGACGGGTTATTTTGCAGTAGAGTCAACCCCTCAATCTTCTGGTTCTTAATCCAAGTATACGCCGTGATTTGGCCCTCAAACTGGCCTGCAGTCACCATGGGCGGGCTGTCTGGCCATAGGGCATAGCGAGATTTGCCATCCGTGCAAGCGCCGGCAGTATTTCCGTTGCACTGGTTACAGGCGCTGCACTGCTCGTTCGTCATGTGGTAGAACGGCTCAGAGTTGTCGCCGGTCATGCGTACGATGTTGGTCTGCTCTATGTACGGGGTGCCATCGAAATTGAAGGGCGTGAAGGCGGCAGTAGACGAGATAGTGCCACCCCCAGGGCGGCCTTGCTCGTCATTCACCTGGGTATCGCGACAGGTCCAGAAATCTCGGGTTTGGAACCTAACGGAGCCGCAGCTATCTCGATTGAGTGATGGGTCGGACACAAGTCCCAATACCTGCGGGGTACCCTTAATCGTCGGAGTGAAGGTATCACGCGGGATTGAGTAGGCTGAGGCTGAGCCTATGATAGCCGCTGCTAACAATCCCCGGGTGCTAATTGTCTGCGAATCGAACATCTTGCTGCTGAGCACGTCGGAACGAATGAAAGGAAAGGCGCAAGATGTATAGAAGAAAAAAAGAAGAAGAAAAGAGCTAAAAAGAGAAAAAGTACAGAAGAAGAGGAGAAGAGAAGAAAGACCGAAAATGATTGAGTCGAAGCAAAAGTGCTGGTTGTCTCAGAAGTCTCCCAACTTGAGAATTATGGCTGAATACTTATACATGAATCGTTTCGCAAAAGCACACATGGCTAATTTAGCAGGGCCAAGAATTATTAGTCTATCCCAGTTGTTTCAAGACCGTCATTTGTGCTTCAGTTCATGAAATAATCCCAGGTGTCTGATGAAAAATGGATCTGCTTAGTCGAGCCGCCGGGGCACTCACCCTTGAATATCATCAGAATTCCTCGCGCATGTTCCCCCTTGCAAACTATGTCAAGTAACCAAAAGAGTAGCTATTTACACTTCACTGCCCTATGGACATGCAGAACTGGAACTTTGTTCAAATATCATGAAGTTAAATCCGACAGACAGCACAGGAATCGGGCATGCTTCTCAAAGTGGCCGTAGGCGCGGCACAGAGCATGCTTCTAAAAATAGCAGCGCGCTTCCTGCCGCATTGTTTCAACTCAAAGTGTCTGGGATTGAAAATAAATTTCCCAATACAGCTTGGCCTAATACCGCAAAGCTGCACGCGCTCACCCACGAGTTCAGCAGCCTACGAATCATCCTGACCTTGGCAAGATTATTCCCATAGGATTGGCAAGGCCATTAATGAAATGTATTTTCGTACTGTTGCTATCTAACCATGAGGTTCCTAGTTTTTCTTCGTTCCCCCTTTCCAGTTGTTTCACAGGATAAGTGGAGGAGTGAACAGTCAAGAGCACGTCTTTGTCGATCGACAGCACTCGCTAAGCACACTCGTTGATTGAGGTTAATGAAAAAGAGGAATTAAAGGACCACCTAAATATCCAATACCTATCTATAGGCTATAAACCGCAATGCTCTTGTATCTTAAGGTTTTACGAGGCAGCATTCTGGTTCGCTTCAGCTACAGGGTAAGCACAGATGAAATCGGTGAACATGATTACTAATACATCTTTTCTGGTCCTTGCAGTGGATCCGCGCATCAGACGCGTAGCAATTGCTTATCAACAAAAACATCTTGTGTACGCTATCTCAATCATGGCCGTCTCAACATGGTCGACAGGAATGTGATATGCCCGAACTGGGTAGCGCGGGCAGAATGATACGCATTTGGCAGTATAACAATATAAGGAGACGTCCTTTGTGGTAATGCTGCTGAATGTCGCGACGTGGGTTCGCGAATTTGTTTAATCCGAGGCTCACAGAGTTTGGGCATCACAAGGGATGCGTGCGGGTAGCTGGTTGCTGTTTATTTCGGCTGAACTAACTAGACTTCTATCTTCTTTCCATCTAGCCAATCCTTTGCTTGTCGGTAAAGGAGATCGTGTTTTTCACCAGACGCCGTGCCCGCATGCCTCCGGTGGCCTGGCATGTCCTTGGACACGGTAACACCCATTGTCAGCTCCTGACAGTACGCCAAACACTTGTACCCCTCAGGATACGAGTTCAGCTTCTGCTCATCCACTTTGGGTACCTTGTTCGGGTTAACCGGAATAAGCTTGTCCTTCTCATACCAGTGGCGGACGAAACGGGCGCCCCATCGTCCATCAATCTTCTCAAAGAAGAAGCAGAAGCGGCAGTCAGCCTCGGCATCGACCTCACATCCGTCAATGGTGAACCGCTGTGTGATCGTCGCCTTGAGCTTGGTGACGGCGCGGGTGGCGTCCTGCGTGATGTCTGTGGTCGAACCATGGCATCGATGCATGATGAAGGCACCCTTGTCCATGCCCGCCTGGGATCCGGCTATGAAATCCCGGTACGGGACGCGGCCGGACCAGGTGGTGTAGACGTAGGCATCAGGGTGGAATATGGAAAGGAAATTATCCCACTCGCATGCATCACTACATATGGTGTTGGGTTAATAATCATTGACTCAAGCGACTGTCTTAAAGTGAGGCAAACCGGTAACATGGCCAGCCTTCTGCAAGCTCGCGGAGTTTGAGTCGCTCAATCACGAGGTTATCCGGCCCGTTGTTGCGAACGGCATCGACAGGCCTGGTGCCTTCGGGTAGTGTGTGCAGGTCAGGCATGATGGGTTTCAGTACTAAATATTCATGGATATAGAGCGAGTTATGAAAGAGAGGCCAAAATATTTTCTTTCATTTATGCGATGAACGGAAGGCAACTTCGATGAGGTGTTGCCCACCTGATAAACTTACCCTTGGTGTTGGAGGGGGTGGGGGTGGATTCCGAGGGCCTCCGGGTAAAACCTTTCCCGCCACACTTCTCCTCGTCTAGTGCAACTGCTTGTCCTTGTTTAGAGAACAGTGAAGGACGGAGCCAAGCGGACCGGCAATAGAAGCAGCTGTGTGAAAGATCCGGTTTTAGTGTTATTATCCGCATCATCCATGTCTTGGGACCGCCCATCCACAGGTTTGCTGGAAGCGGTTTATCCATTGCTATATCGTACCAAGTGGTCGGTTCATGTCTCATACCGTTGTTCATGATCTGTAGATGTGTAAACAGGACAGAACACGCGACAAGTATCTGAAATGGGAAGTTACTTTTTATCATTCAAGGTAGGCTAGTTCAGCTATGAATTGATGACCTTGCTCTCCTCTGCAGCTTGCAAAAGGCATCTCCAAGCGCCCTCCTTGTTTAATTTTTTTACTCGTTCTTCTCCAGCCCAAAGTGACCATTGGCGCTCTATCTGATACCCAATTACATGAGTGCCCTCGACACAAGGCCAGCCAAGACCCTCCGCCGACTTTATCATTCTTGTGCGCCGAGGCTTGAAGCACATGTCCAGCAAAACACCCTTTTCGGGCTTTTGCAAGAATAAGAGGAGCATCGCGGCGACGTTCTTTTCAGACTCCGTCTTGGGCTCCAGATCTGGAACGGTCCCCACGATGTAGTAAGGGGTGTCGGCTTTTTGTGCTTCCTCGAGAGTCCTGATATGAATAATATCAGGTACGACGGGCAACTTCTTGGAATCCCGGATGAGGTCAAGAACTTCACTGTCATCTCGGTTGAGGACGTAGATCTTGGAGCAGTGGAGGTGGGAAGCAAGGGCGTAAACCGCAGCGCGACTGGCACCCCCAGCTCCAACAATCAAGCCGGAGACAGGACTTTTCTTGGTCCCACGGCGAGATTCATCGCCCTTTTCAAGGAGACATCCTCTGATACCGAGCCAGTCGGTGTTGGTGCCGACGCGCCGACGCGGGTTGCCCGGCTCGTAGTAAACGTTATTACAAGCTCCAATAGCGGTAGCCAGCTCGTCCACCCGGTCCAGCTTGGGCATGACGATGTTTTTGTAAGGCATGGTCACAACGAGACCGGCTGTTGTGTCTTTCTTGGAGAGCTCATCCAGTTCATCCAGTGTCGGGCATTCGGTATTATGGAACGTCCATGGTAACCCGAGCGACTCGGCAATGAAATTGTGCATACCAGGGGCAATGGAGTGAGTGACACCAATGCCAACCAGGTGTAAGGTCTTCTGTTCAGTGCTCATGACTGTACGTTGGAAGTGTCTTTGTTGAAGTTGAACGTCAGCTGCTTGTGGAGGATCAGTTCTTTCTCATCAAACTCGCTGGATGAAGGGAAATTGAAATAAAATTACATGCTGCCACAAAATGATCCGAAAAGAAAATACAGTTACAATAATCATCTATCATTCTACCAACATGATGCAGGCCTGCTGGATCCTACGTGGTATCTGCTACCCACTAGTGCATGAGTTCGGTTGAGGCCTTTGCCGGCTGTACTCACTCTTCGTTCGAACCCACGCGCTTATTCCCCCTCACAATTCCTACGCGAGAACCCTGCCCCCGCTGGAAATACGGAGTAATGCGGGAGATTGCGGGGGAACATGCCGCCTGGGCTGAGAGCGGGGGATGTTGCGTTCATGACGCATCGATGATACAGATTTTCCATCTGCACATCCGAAGTCTCACAATTGGCTACGGTATTGGCACAAGCGTTGCAGGTGAATTATTCAGTATTCTATACTAAGTATCTGGCTCATAGATCTGCCTTGGCATCTTCGCCAGCCCAAGCCCGGCGGATCAATTCTTGAATGGCATCCCTATTGTCCACCTTGCGAGGGTTCCAGTATGGGTTGCTCAGGGCTATTTCTGCCGCTTTTGCCACATCTTCCTCTTTCATGCCAAAGGATTTGAGATCTCGCTTCACTTCTAGCTTCGTCAACAGGACATTAAGACCATGTACAGCATCTCCATTGCTCTCAGGCAGAACCTTGCTCAAGGCATCCATGGCCGAAGGGATATTGGGGGCATTGTATGCCAGAGCATGGGGCAGCACAATTGTGTGGGTTTCAGAGTGAGGCATACCGAAGCTCCCTCCCAGAGTGTGACATAATTTATGGTGAAGTGACATGCCGACACTACCCAGGCATGTGCCGCACAGCCATGCGCCATACAATGCCTTGGATCGTGCTGCGATAGACTTGGGATCTTTTTTCACTTCAGGAAGAGCCTCAGCGAGCGCGCGAACGCCCTCCTGTGCGAGTAGGTTGATGATAGGGTTCCCGTTGCGGGCGTAGAGGGCCTCGACGGCGTGCGCGATGGCATTAATACCGCTTGTCGAACTCATACCCACGGGCAGGGTCAAAGTGAGGTCGACGTCGTAAATCACCATACCAGGAAGGATCTTGGGATCAGACTTGGTGGTTTTGCGACCATTCTCAGTCTCCCCCACCACTGGTGTGACCTCGCTCCCGGCATATGTGGTGGGAATCGTAACATGGTAGAGACCTTTGCGGAAGCTAATTGCTTTCCCTAGCCCGATGGTACTTCCGCCTCCAATAGAGACCAGGGAGTCGCAATTCGATTCCTCAGCGTACTTGACAGCCTGGAGGGTCACCTCAACAGGTGTGTGCATCGTAGCCTCGGAGAATATCCCAGCAATCTTGCCCCCAAGGATATTCTTCACACCTTCAGCTTGCGATATCTGCTGCGGTGTGCAAAGCACAAGAGGTCTGGACAGGCCGAGCGCCTCAAGCTCCTGTGGAAGCCTCTTGATCGTTCCGCTGCCGAATATAACCCGGCCGGGGTTGGAAGTGTACTCGAAGGCATCCATTTTGATCTTGTGATTTTTGGTCTCGTGTTAGGCGACGGATAACGACCATGAAGGAGGTTCGCAGGGACGGCTGCAAGGGGTTGGGGATGGTCCAGGCAATACGGATATAACTGAAGGACGGAATCGGCTATGACATCGGATCAGACAATTTGCCTTGTTTTCTGTGTGGGAGGTAGGCCCAGTACCACCATGATGGCGCCCGTTTCGGCAAATGTCTAAACCGAGACGACGCTAAAGTCAACGACGGTCTTCTCCGCGCGAGTCAAAGTGCGGGGAAAAGGTTCAACCATGTTCATTCAGTCACTCTCCGGATATACGCAATGATGCTGATTGGATAGACTACTGGTCGTTAATCCGGTTTTCCTTGTCCCCTGGGTTGGGAATCCAACGACTCCTATTCTACTGCCAGATATCTGGACGACCCGCCCATTTGTATATTTTCCTCAACATATGATACGTAATTTGTTCTATTCATCCATTCAATTACAAGAATACAAGACCAAATATCATTTTCACCATGTCCCAGAAGAAACATACCCCCCCAGATATTCCTCCTATGAAGGATCTGACGATCGAGAACATAACCGACAATGTGCATAGCATCAATTCTAAATGCAGCGACGGCAGACTGAAATTCTTGTTAGAAAGGCTTGTGAATCACCTTCACGACTTCGCAAGAGAGACACGCCTCAGTATAGCAGAATGGGAAACAGCCATCAAGTTCCTGGTTGATGTGGGGGATATCAGCAGCGATGTCCGTCACGAGTTTGTCCTCCTCTCGGATGTTCTTGGCCTTTCGCTTCTAGTGGATGCCATTGACCACCCAAAGCTCAAGAATTCGACCGAGGGCACCGTCTTGGGTCCCTTTCATACCACTGATGCACACACTGTGTCCAACGGTGATCAGATCTCTCATGACCCTGACGGCGAGCCGCTATTTGCAATTTGCACCATCAAGGACACCAACGGACATCCCATCCCTGATGTAGCTGTGGATGTGTGGGAGACCGATTCGAAGGGCTTTTATGATGTCCAGTACGCAGATCGATCAACACCTGATGGTCGCGCCGTTGTAAGAAGTGACAAGGATGGCATCATCTACTTCAATGCAATTGTTCCTGTCCCATACCCCATTCCCAATGACGGTCCGGTAGGGAAGCTCTTGGAACGTCTGAACCGCCACTGCTACCGGCCAAGCCATATGCATTTCATGTTCAAAAAGGAGGGATATGACCGATTGATCACGTAAGTTCTCAAGCAGCCTCGTCTTACGACCCCCCCCACTTACCCTGAGATAGTGCGCTATACTTACGTGGGGATCCATACGAAACGTCTGATGCTGTATTCGGCGTCAAGGAGTCGCTGATTATCGACCTAGGAAGAGTGGGCGATGTAGATGGGTTAGCAGAGAAATATGGCGTGTGTCCCGAGACAAAGCTGCTACGCTACGACTTTGTTCTCATAACAGAACAAGAGTCGCAGGGTGCCAGGGAAGAGGATGCTTGGAAGGAGGCGAGACGCCAAAATTTTAATCTTAAGGTCGTCAACGGACTGATTATGCCAGAATAGTTCCGCGTTAGTAGTCTAAACAGTTCGTTTAACAATTTGAGTATAGGTACTTTAAATGAATACGAGGAAGGCATCTCTGTCCAGCATTCCAATCGTATATCAGTTCCTGGTAGAAGAATTTCAGCTGTCTGTCGGGTTCTTATTAGTTCAATGTGTTAACTGGCATTGTCGAGGGCTTAAATAGGACGGAATGATGCCAGCTTTCTGATCCTTCGTTTCAGCGGCTCACCGGCTTAAACGCATATCCGATATTGTGGACCGCTTCGCCTTCTGTTCTTTAGCGAACACGGCCTCTGTCAGGTTTATAGTGCAGAGAAAGCCGATGAAATATTAGAACTGTTCCATGCACACGCTCAACTCATCCTTGTATCAGTCTTGTCAAGTGGTAAATATGGGGACCCAAGTGATTGTCACGGAGCAACAG